TTTCAAGGACCAAGACCATTCGACTCAGCACCCCGAAGACTACAACTGGTGAAATTTTAATTTTTGCCTTAACTTCCCCTTTAACGATCTGATTCTGTATGTGTGGTGCGTTTTATCTCATGCTGCCGCTGCTCCTGCTGCTGCTATTGCAGTTTGTCCTGTGTTGAATGCCAGCACTGGAGAGTCCTTCAACTATCTACCGCTGATCCTGGGAATAGTCCTTGGTTTGCTGGTCGCTGGCATTGTCATGCTGCTCATCTGGAGGATATACACCTGGCATAGCGATCGGAAGGAGTACAACAACTTCCTGAAGGCGCAGAAGAACCAGGATTGGTCAAAGGTGAGACCCGACGCATTCATGTGTGTGTGTGTGTTCAGATTCTCACTGTTAGGTTCACCTGCGTGGTGTTAACCCATCTAACGCTACTGGTCATGGCACCCAGGCTCTGCACTCCCTATTTGGCATTGAAGAAGATGTACGTATATGTACGTATATGTACGTCCTCAGCGTCTGGGCATCATTTTCAATGACGTATATCATACGTCTTTAGCGCTGAATGGGTTAATGTGTGTTGTTTCTGTGACACAGGATCACAATGACGGAAAGCTAAATATGTGTTGTAACTCATAGTTTCATGGCATTGAGGCAGTCTTCAATTCCACGAACCATTGTGAACTTGTGTCGCAGGTCATCTTGTGTGTTTATGAGCACATTCGGAAGCCGATGGCAACTTTGCTCTATACATATTCCCTGTACATGTCCTATACTCTTGAAAACATCACCACCTCTCTTCATTGTCGTATGCCCTGCTTTGCTCTATCCAGGCCCAAAATCCACTGTTCAAGCCGTCCACACAGAAATTCGAGAACCCCACGTTTGGCAACTAGGTGATGGATGCTGCTGTACTTCTCACACTGCGGATATCCATTCTTGTTGTATCTTGAGCTTTCATTCTCTGTGTGCATACATGTAAATATACACTGTGTGGTTCCATCTGTTAGGAGGTGGAATTTCGGTATGTAGCTTGATGCGTACTAGCAAAACACTGCAGTACGAGTCCGGTGGTGTCCCGGGTCCAGGTAATCCTGGCTGGCTCTGGGTTAGACCAGTGTGTTGTGCAGCAGCGGTGGTGCTGTACGACCCCCGATTTAATTGAGCGAATGATTGGCGTGTTTGACTGGTTGGATGATGGCATTTGCAGCATTATTCTCTTTATTGCTCTGCTCTATATCCGTTCTCATACTGACGACATATTGTGCCTTATTTAGCACTGAAAAAACCCATGTGACCCATAATAGGAATGATTTGTCGTTTACAACAGCATATTCAGGTGATGGATGTGACATTTTTTAATGCTTACAACGACACGCGTTTTTTGGCGTTGCATGGATAAATCAGGCTTATGCAATTCATCATTCCTATAAGATATTTCACCATTCCTAACTGTTTTGCATAATTATAATGTATTCAATTACTCATTTTGCTCAATGTTATTAGTATGAAAGATTTGCAGCCAGCTGTGGGAAATAACAAGAAAATTTCAAATAGGAGAAACAGTAGAGGGAAAAGTCGAAAGCTGTTGTTGCATTTGAAAATATTATTACTTTATTTAGGAGGGCCAGTAAAGATATCTCAGGAAAAATGGGAGAGCACTGGGGAGACAGAGGGAGGGGAGGGAACCAAAATAATTGCGAAAACACGGCAGCACTGAGTAAACTTAGTTTGGAAATGTATGAACAATGCAGGAAAATCTCCAGCAACTGGGTTTTATCTTGTATCAACTGGTGAACATCGCAGTAAATGGCGGCTCAACGAGCAGCTACCGATCTCTGCCCTCATACTGTGGGTTGATGAAGACTTGCGTTGGGTTCTTGTAGAACGGATTGCTTTCCTGTGCAGTGAAGAGAACATGGTCGGAGTAGGACAGAGTTTTCTGAAGCATTCTTTGGCATGCACATAACAACATTAGAGACTGTTAGGAAACCATCGGGTGCAACGATTTGGACAAACTGGGAATGAGGCCGGCGCGCGGGAAACTCGAATCGTTCTGTGAGCACAATTGGAGCAGCCCCAACGGGTGATCACGAAACGATTACAATTCCGGTTTGCATCACGGATCGCGAATCACCCGCATCACGTGCCTGACTGGTTTAACGCACGGCTTCGTGCCGTGCATGCTTTGACGATTGGAAATCGGAGCTGTCCAATCGTTTGACCGTAAGCGTGACGGTTTGCTAATGGTCTCTAATGTCAATTGCATGGAAACGAGTATGCACTGCTTACTTCGCGTGCCATAGTCATGAGAGTCCTACACCATGCTTGGTTGAGCCATGAAGCCAGGAAAGCCTTGACAAAGGACAGGATGCCCTTGCAGGCCAAAACACTAGGGTTTCTTTATGGTTGCAAGTGGGGGGGGGGGGGGGGGGGGGAGGGGGATAGGGAATTGCACAAAAAACTGGATGGGCGAGAGAAAGCTCTGTGCGTCAATGTGGAGAAGTAGCTGAAATCTTACCTTGGACCATTGTTGTGTGGCCTGTGCCTTCATAAACTGTTTGTACTCGTATTCATCCTGGCAACAACAGACACACACAGCAAAAGAAGTACAAGGGATGGCATGAGTAAATGCAGTTCCGCTCAAGAAAAGTTCATTCCGTTACTAGGCCGCCGGCACTGTGGAGTCCGAGACCTAAAAAAAAATACTGGGACGTTCACTGGTGCAAGGCTAATCGCTAGATCAGATTTTATTGAGCAGCACCGTTCAATACTAGCTTTGGATGTGCAAGTCTCCAATGGGTATTTTTGGGCTAGTAAAAGGAAATATTTCGCGGCTCGTTCTAATAGTACAGTCACCTTCGCTTATAACGACACTCGGAGGGGCATCAGAAAAGTGTCGTTATTCACAAAGTGTTGTTATACCCGAAGTCTCATTTTATGTATTACAGTTGGATGGGACTTTGCTCAGGGCATAGAAATGCTGTCGTTATTCGCGAATTGTCGTTATATCCGCAGTCGTTATTAGCGAAGTTACTGCATCTGCCACAACTCACACTTAATTTGTTGCCACTCAATGATGACGTCATAGTGACATCACCACGACGTAATGACATAACAACAACACTGCCAGTTCATCACATGGTGCTCTGGTGTCAATTGACCACATCGTAATAGAGAGGTTTAAAAGATGCACGTTATTTCCCACGCGACGCGCAAATTCACGTCAAATTTGGCGTAAAACTCCAAATTTCGACGCGAGCTGCGGGTCACTCGCGTTGTTTTTCGACACGCGTGCCAAATACCGCGAGCTGAACTTTCGCGTCACGTCAGAAATAACGTGCATCTTAACCTCTCCAATAACGCAAACTAAGGTACTGTTACGACACTCACGGAGCACAGTGAGGCGAACATAACTAACCTTCAGGTATGTGATAGCCTTGTATATGAGCAGGGCCACAAGGCCAATGAAGAACAATGCAAAGATAATACCGATCGTCAGCGCTATGTAGTTGAACGGCTTCGGACAGACTGCGGAGATAACAGACAAAGTCAACGCGAGCACACACAGCCACATAAATATACGTGCACATAGTACTTAACTTCAAGAACACACACGCACGCACGCACGCACACACACACACACATGCACAAGCCCAAGTCCACCAATGAAAGAACACACTTACACACACTCACTCACAAAGACCACACTTTTAAAAACACACTCACTCGCCAACACACCATGCACGCCATGCACGCCATGCACGCCATGCACATGCACTCCGAGCTAGTGATAGCCATGCGCCTAAGCAACACAAGCACAGCAAGAGATAGTGCAATGGCAGAACCAAGAATGCGTTCCTTTCCCACAGGCACAAGCGGCATCAACTTACCTCTTTCCTCCTCGATTTCTAATGGTAAGAAAGTCCCGTCTTCTTTAACCGCCACCCAGAAGAAAAAATCACAGTCATCCTCGTCTGTGTGCTCACATCGCGTAGCCTCAATACCTGCGAAAGAAACAGGGTGTCAGCGCAAACACGGGTGTGGGACACACTCCGGTCACTACGGTATTGACCGTACCACGCTTTGTCTCGGGTACCCTGTGAAGCAATAGAATACACTAATCTGGGCTTTAAATTTGGAAATTTTTCAGAATAGCCTCCCAACCCGACGAGTACATTGTAGTAGTTGACGTGTACCTTCCGACGTCTCTGGATACTCAATCCGGTGTGGAAACAAGAAATTCTTTCACAATTCAAAATTCAATACCACAACATAATGTTATCACTAGCGGCTACGGAACAAATGCCACGTTCAAGCTGTACTAAACACACAATTGCATTGCATTGCAGGCAAAGCACCATGCTTGCGCTGCTGCTGCTGCAGTAGATTGATTTGTTGTTTTAGACGAGTAATCACACAATCATGTCTCATCGTGCCGCCAACATCTCTAACATACCTTCGATGTAGTGATCCAGCCCGGCTGGCGTGGCTATAGTGCGCGTGCCAGAGCAGTCTTTGCAGTTCTCACCACCGCCGAACTCTGGACAACTCAAGCAGTGTGCGGCACGGCCACAGATACTGATTTGCGCACACTAAAGAGCATACAAGGAACGAATGCAAAGAGCATGGGTAGAGAGTAGAAAATGAAGAAAAGAGACATAGCCATGCAAGGGAAATAAGAGGCAAAACTAATCTACTCATTGTAGGGTTTGTCTCTGGGCAACCCAAACGTTACAATAGAGAGTTTTAAGATGCACGTTATTTCTGACGTGACGCGAAAGTTCAGCTCGCGTTATTTGGCACGCGCGTCGAAAAACAACGCGGGTGACCTGCAGCTCACGTCGAAATTCGGAGTTTTACGCCAAATTTGACGTGAATCTGCGTGTCACGTGGGAAATAACGTGCATCTTGACCTCTCTAATAACAAGCTCTTTGCCAGCCAGAAACACTAATCAGACAAAATACTGCCAGCAAAAAGTGCTTGCAACTGGACAGATTATATCGATGGTTGGGGGGGGGGGGGGGCTAGTGTAATAGTGTTTCTGCATTGGTGTTGGCACCACTAGACAATTATACTACTCGATACTCGGATGACTACAACATCATAGCTTGGTGGAAGAGCATCGCTTATCTATACAGATGAGGTCCTTGGTTCGAATCCTGAATAGGGGTGATATCGTATTTTCCGGAGTACCGGAACGAGCCGCACTTGGAACGCTCAATTTTCACCCAAATAAGGGGGTGCAGCTTATCTGATAATAAAATGAACGGTGACTAATACTGGTAGGGTAGAGGTCTGTATTTTGTGGCAAAAAATGGGGGGGGGGGGTGTACTCCAGTGCGGCTTATGCTCTGGAAATACGGTATTATTTTCTACACACGTTTTCCCTTCTCTCCCTGAATGTTACGAAATATTGCATGTCTGAGAGTAGGACTATACCTTATCCGGGTTAGCTGTGCAGACGTCGCAGAATTCACCGGCAAACCCGTCCGTGCACTTGCACTGTCCGCACTCGCACATACCTTCGTTACGACACAGACGTTTCTGTACACACACACACACACACACACACACACACACACACACACACACACACGCAACCAATCGTTACAGTTTCACACGAGTCAGCTGCAGACAGCCATTTCGGCCAGTTTCAAATGCAAACTCAAATGCACAAGAGAGCCCTAGTAAAGGTGGGATATCTTCTATTACAAGGGTAGCTAACAGCATGTTCAGCTTTCTGCATGTCCCAGGTGGGCCTGGGACATGCAGAAAAACCATGAGAATAGTAGTCATCTTGGCGAGAGCGGTATGTATACCTTGCCTCTCTATCCAGTTACAGTGACACGTCTTTACGACAAACATCAAGGCATCTAGAGTATTTGTTCGCAATAGCAGGAATTCTTCATGTGCATATTTTAAACCCCGTGAAAACACAGTGATTCATTCCATGGAGTTAGGAATACTAGCTCTTAGTACAACACACTCTCCTCCATGCGCTTAAGCCGACCATTGCTACCCTCGGTAGCCATTATTCACCCCAATAATTTCAAACAACGAAGGCGTCACGGGTAAAACATTTCCTTCTGACAGCTGTTTCACCTACAAATGCTCGTCAGAGAAGGAGATATTGAATAGCAGTTCTTCTACAGCAAAATCCTGCCTTCTCGGTGCTGTTCTTATCGAGGATTCAATGCATTAAGAGCATGTTTTGTCCGCTCTCTTATATAGCCTTACCAGGTCACCGGGGGCTTTGCAGGTCTCTGTGACATGCGTGCAGTTGCAGGCAATGCCAGTATAGTTGTTCTTGCACGCGCACACACCGCACTCGCATTCACCGCGTACCGTTCCTGTGTGCACGAAAGCAACACACGAGAAGACATAATTATACTATATTCAAAACTCATAATGGGGAGGAGAGGATACAAAAGCCATGTGCAGTTGCGCTCGGTGAAGTCCGACCCAGACTGCATATTCGGAGCCATCAACTTGCACGGCCCTTGGCGCCCTGGAAGCGGCACGAATGCGGCTGAACTTACACATGTACAAATAGAGTGATGTAATCGGAACTGGTCCCGGGCGTCAGTTTTGTACATCGGGTCGGATTTCACCGAGCAGAACCATATCAGTACAGGTGGAAGGTTGCAGTAAAGAACCAGACAGAAGAGTTGGGTATACATTTGGCCAGTCCCATTCAAGCCTTCCTAGATATCGTAAAACCGGAACATTTCGGTGGAGATTTATTTTCCGTAACAAAAATAGAACGCATCGAAAATACATGTACCGTAAAATCCCGCCAGAGCGCTCCTACCTCCTCCCCTACCTCCTCGACGATTCAGGTGGGGAGGGGCGGATGGGCGAGTCCTACTTGCCGCATTCAGTGCTACATGAAAAAGTACTCACCCTACGAAAACTGTTCGTGCATCTCGTACACCGACCAAAGGTCAAGAGCCAGGAGTCGTACAGACCCGACAAAACGCAGGGTTTGTGCGATCCCTGGTCAAGAGGGTGGGCACTGTTGCGTACATTTCCAACGGGGTTGAGCACGCGTCTGCAGTACAGTACGGCATCACAGACTGCGACAGAGTCATACGAGGATACAATCAATCACGTCCCTGACAAGAAGTCAGGGAGGGGCGGATGGGAGAGACGGGGCGCTCGGCGGGATTTTACGGTACATGCATGCTGATTGCAGTACGGAAAACTGGTTTACAGAAATTTTTGCGCTACCGAACTGTTGATTTTGGGAAATACCGAAAATACTACGCAACCCGAAAATTCCCGGTTTTCCAGTAATAGAGTGTTGAGGAAAGTGTGTTTGATGATTTTGAGTTTCGTGGCTATCAGCATCATACCGGTATTGTTTTATTGTAACTGCTGATAGTCATGACATCTTATTCTTTCCCATACTGTTCATATTTGATCATCGCGGTCGTTAATCTATCCGAGTCCGAGTTCAATATCTATCGTAGCATTTATTTTTTCACCATAGCCTAGGAGCTGTGGCATCATTCATGATCCACAGCAAGAAGGCAGCGATGCCTGTACCTATGGTGAAGTAAAATAAAGATAACAGAGGTTAAGATGCCCGTTATTTCTGACGGGACGCAAAAGTTCAGCTCACGTTATTTCGCTCACACTTCGAAAAACGCGAGTGACCTGCAGCTCACATAGAAATTTGGAGTTTACGCCAAATTTGACGTGAAATTGCGTGTCACATGGAAATAACTCATTGCATTCCCAACTCATCACAACCACGCGCTCTTCAGCCGAACCATGCAGACACCAGCAAGGACACTTCCGTTGAGAGATATAATTATTGCTCCACGCCTCTAGACAGCTGTTTCGCTCCCTGTCGGAGCTCATCAGTAGAGGATGATGATGATGATGATAATGGAGGAATGATCATTCTTATACACCAGAAATGGCGCAAGTGCGCTCTGTATGGTTCGGCTGAAGAGCGCGTGGTTGTGATGAGTTGGGAATGCAATGAATTGAAAATATGGCCGAAAGCTCTGTCGCAATATTTAGTACATGGAAATAACGTGCATATTAACCTCTGTAACATAACATACCTCCACAGACGCGACCGGCATCATCACGGGGACAGCTGAAGTTATCACACTGGCAGAAGTTACCGTAGATGATCTGATTGTCAAACTGTACACGCAAGAGTAAGTCAACACACAAGTACACACGAGCGCATGCACGTGTACACACACACACACACGTACGGCACTTGAATGACAAGATAGGGACGCAAAGAGGGGAAATGTTCAAGTCACATTTCTAGCCGAAAGATGTTAAAAAGTCCATAACTTCTCCTAGGTGAAGTGCACGGTAGCGAGGCGGGGGTTGGAGGGGTAGGAGGTGGGCAAGATAAGGGTAAAGGGGAGGGGGATACAGGGGACGGGGTACTCGACTTACGGCTGGTTTGTCGCATTCACACCGTTCACAGATACACTGTCCACGGTTGTCGCACACTAGTCCCGTGTTCCTAACAAACAGACAACGGCATACCGTAACCAGAGCTTGAGATCATGAAAAATGTCAACACACGACTCCCTCAAAAGTCATACGTGTTATAGTAGACCCAGGTGCTCGAAATCAGGCCACATATCCTAAATCCAACCATCCCTAGCTTCATGTTCTGTGATTGTATTCCAACATACATGTACCACCCTTTTGCAAAGTAAACTGGTGGAGGCATATGCCAAACTGTATCGTTTTGGTAGATCCGTCGAAATCGAGGGACAGCAAGTTAGCAAAAAGGAGAGAGTGTATCTTTTGAGTCACCTCCTAGCCTGCCGAACCTACCGTCCATTCATCGGAAACTGTCCCGCTGGCTTTTGAAAGTCGGATTTGGGCCGAATTGAGGATCAAAAACCCACTTTAAATCTCAAAAATCCAGGTTTAGGATCTGCTTCTCCATACATTTTGCCATGGCATACCCGTTCTAATTTTGTAAAACCTGGCTGGATTTCTATTTCCTTGTTCTTGGACTTTTCTGGCCTCAAATGTGGCAAGGAATAATTGTAGAGCACCCTCCGCAACACGCAAATTTGACATGAAAAATCAGCACACTTCAGAGAAACAGCTCGGATCGAAAGGTGGTTTGTGTTCAATCGAGCCTGGCCTCAAAACAAGCTTTGACCACCACAGCTTTCATCCACAAGAAGGTTTCCGACCAGTTTTTATTGCTGGTGCGAGTTTACCTCGGCAAGAATTTACTGTCAAAGTGGCCGGACTTTGAGCACCCGGGTTTACCCCAACAATTTTGGTTTACTAGCAAGGTGACCATACACATGCACACGCAGATAAACACATCATGTATTTCACGCAGACCAATGCACACGGAAAATGCATACAGAGACAGCGGTTCTCCGCAGAAACGTGCCCCAACTTACGGGTTTATGCAGCTTTGTAGAGTATCCCGACAATCGCACCGGCCATTTTCACTGAAGAATAGAGAAGTAGAATAAATGGTGAGAGAGAGAGAGAGAGAGAGAGAGAGAGAGAGAGAGAGAGAGAGAGAGAGAGAGAGAGAGAGAGAGAGAACAGTTACTTCCCGACACAAATAAAACCAGGGTTGCTTGGGGTAGCTTAGCACGAGCAATGCAGGAGAGGATTAAAAAAAAAGTCATTCTGCAATGGTTCGGGTCGACGTACATTTTTCCGGCAATTGCAAAATCAGTCTAGTGAAGGACATAGAGAAGACAGGGGATGTTGTAAGCACATACCTTTTGTAGGTTTCGTTGCAATGGCAGATGCCGCAGTAGTCGGAGCCGTGGAAGTCACACCACTCGGAGTAGTGGATCTACAGATGAACAAAAGACAAAGCCATATTGGTGCAATGGCCACAAAAAAATTTGCACTGTGGTTCACTGCACTCGGAAAAGGTTTTTATTCAACAGTTTAGTAAATATACACATCCTGATGATTTTTCGATGGTTTTTCAATATCAATTTCTGTAGTCGTGAACAGATATGAAATTATATACTCACCTCCCACTGTTTAGACACTGCATCTGCGCCTTGATCCTAGAGGGTGGTGGCGTTCCTACGGACGGATGCGGAAAACTCGGGGGAAGCGGAGTCTCACGTGAACCGTGAATTTATCTATATTTTTTTTAGTATCTTTACAACTGGGTAACTGTTGGGAAGACGCGACACTGGGGCGGTCTAAATCCACAGCTGAAAGCATGTGCTATGCACACAGAAGCAGCACGAGTGGCAAGTGCTGAGTGCTAGAGCCTTTTACGTGAAGTGCCAAGTGACGTGACTACCGAATTACAGCACACGCGCTCGATACGTCTTCTATTCTTAGCTATAGCACTCTGCCGCTAGAGCAACGTCTTAATGTCTGTGGTGCCACCTTTGCACCATGGCCGGTAGCTCGGCTTACATTAGAAACCTCGTAGCTGCACTCATGAGGTATATATGGCCGAAACAGCTTACCGTCTACAGCATTGGGTAGGTATCCTATTCTCAATCTGCGGACAGAACTGTTTCGTCCTTTCAAGGACTCATCAGCGCAGCACAGAGGAAATGAGGCCGAACCTGATAGCAATGAAAAATTCTATTCTTAAAAAGTTCCAAGGCGCTTCTGCCATGCTTACCGGATTCTGATCACAATCACACTCACACAGCGGTTCAATGTTGATGACGGAGTCACCAAAACCAGCAAAGCGAATCGTGATACTGTACAGAACAGAGCAGCCATGAAACACATGGACAACATTCGCCTTTTGCCACAACCCGTTTAATCTCAACTTGTATTGTGGCAACACTGGTCAACACTCAGATACAGTCGAACAATTCTTGCTTCCCAACGTTTCGGTCACTCTGACCATCTTCAGGGTGGTGAAGATGGTCAGAGTGTTTTGCCACAATACGTGTTTATAATGAAGCTGCGTGAAGTGTCATTCCGAATTCGTTCATCTATTTAAAAAACACCCAGTGGAGCTCTAATAAAGGCAGTACTTACCAATTGCAACAAAACAGATAATATTTCGAAGAGATTTTTATTCCAAAAATTCTAAAGGACGCCTCACGCAGCTGCATAACTTATATTACACGTTTGCAGGCAACTCCCCCGCACTCAAGAAAGCACTGCATTCTTCACACACACAATCCGGTAGATTTCTATTGTCAAGCTTATTTTGTTTGATAATCAGCTGTTGTCTCCATGTGGGCACATCACAAATCAGTTATGAAATCGGGTTAAAGTAGCAACTGGAGAATAGACCCTGCATTGATTCACAATTCTGATATCACAAATCCATAATGAAATCAGGAGTAGCAAGTCACTGCATTGTTTCACAATTCTCCTTGCGACGCAGGATCCAGAGGGGAAATGTTTTGAACTCACTTTTTCAGATTCTTCAGTGTATCACAGTTCTCAGCAACCAGAGATACATGGAAGGTAGCCTGCACAAAGGACAGAAATACAAAACAGGATATTTAAAATCGCTCAAAGTAATGCTATGCACCTGTCTTATACCTGACATACGCAGTGTTCCCGCATGAAATTCTGTTGGCGGATGTGTGCGCATGCGTGCGTGTGTATGTGTGTGTGCGCATGGGTGCGTGCATGCGCATGCGTGTGTGTGTTTGTGTGTGTTTGTGTTTGTGTGTGTGTGTGTCTACTACTTTTGCAGTCTCCTCTGGATCATCTGGAAAGGTAGATGCTGCGCTAGTCGGGACATGGAACGCTGCATGGAACGGAAGACAAATTCAAGGTGCAACAAGCGTCTGGATTTGATTCAATTCCACCTTCGGCTATTGGAAATTGCAATTCGCCAAAGTCAGAATGCTTGCATACCGATGCCCTTGGAAGTTACATCATACACGAACACACCTTGGACCCCATCGCTAGAGGTGATGATAGCGATACTACAGCAGAAGACATGGAAACTTTTGCCGGGATTGCACTATTCAACAACTTGCAAGGCTGAAGAATTGAGGCCCAGGCGAGGACATCGGTATCCTCAGTTTCGTCGTCATTGACTTCCTCGTTACCGTCATCGGTTGCGTCCACCTCCGGTGGCAGAAAGCGTGGCCGGCCACCTAAGAAACCGCCAGATGTTGTGTGTGGTGGACCAGTGACTTGCTCCAGGACGAAATTGGCAGAGTCATTATCGTCTCCGTCTTTGTCATCCTCCTCCTCCTCCTCCTCCTCCTCCTTGTATAATTTTCTTTCAGCTCTCATTGCTCGTGCTAAATAGGGTCTAAGTTACTATTTGCATTGTGCATATTTATATTGAGTTTTGAATAAATTTTGATTTGCCAGTAATCCTTCTGAAGAGATGGCCACGAAAACGTTCAAGGAACAATTACGCACCCCATACTTATTTGCTGACGATGTCACCCTCCTGTATGTACATTTCCTGCAGTGGAACCAATCTCGTCTTGAGAGCGACCTTTCTGCCTCCCAATTATGGGCCAGCAACGTCGGTGGAGAGTTTTCACCAGCCAAAACGACTCAGATCCGTAAGTGGCGACCACCCTATCCAGCTCTCTTCCCAACCTATCACCATCGTTGAAGCAGCGAAGCATCTTGAGTGTATTTAACACCTGACCAGTCCAACATCATCCATCTTCAGACCATCCTGAAAACCTTCCAACGTCGTGTTAAACTGCTATGCTTCATGGGACGGCATCTTGCCCCCACGGCCTTTCTACTTCTATATAAAGGTTTTGTCCGCCCGCCCTGGAACACGCCAGCTCGGCCTGGTCCTATGCCATCACCAAAGCCGAGCTGGAGCGTTTTAATTTTTTACAAGCCAGAGTAGCTAGGAAGTATTTGCTACATAAAAATGTAGATAGATGCGAAACGAAATCCCAGTTAAACGCCCTTTGTGACTTAGAGTCCTTGCACTTTCGCAGACAAGTATCAGCTCTTGTTACTCTATTTAAACTTATACATATATCTCCAGAACACCTCCACCATTTTCACCTTTCACTGTCTTCAAGTCCAAGAAGACCAAACAAACGTAACATCAATTATCCGGTGTGCTTTTTTCTTCCAACAAAGCTGCAATGCTAAGGAATTGCCTACCTCTATAACCAGCCTCCCCGAATTCAAGTATTCTCTCTATCAGGATTTTCGCCGATATATTCATTACACTGACGGTATCCCAACTCCTTAATTACAATATTTTGTATGCCTCGATCTATTTCCTTAGCCTATCCTCGATTAACTGCTCCCTCTACATAAAGTTGTCATTTCATTCTTCTTGCAAGAGATCCCCTCGACAGGCCCAAAGCCTTTGGGAAATCCTTAAATATATTAAAATACAAATTAATCATATATGAAAACAAGATTTGCTGATGGTGTTTGTACTGAATAATAAGCGTCTTCAGCCGAAATTTCACTTTCAAAATCTGACCAGAACCGTTTTAAAAATGGTGGCCAAAATTGGATTTAGACACAAACTACGCGTAACGCGTACACCAAAAAATTAATCCTTTTTGGTCATAATCCGAAAAGTGATGAAATGGATATGTCGTGTTTGGCATCTAAACTATTCATATGCCCATTCATGTGCCCAGACATAACAGTCCATTCATTGGAAACTGGCACCATAACTTTTTGGTGTCGCTCTCACATAGTTGTAGATATCGTGAAAACCACAGTACATCCTGCATTGTGTGACCCGTGCAATTACTCCTTGCCACATTTGAGGCCAGAAAAGTCCAAGAACAGGGAACTAGAAATTCAGCTCGGTTTTACAAAATTAGGACAGGTATGCCATGGCCAAATGTATGGAGAAGCAGATCCCAAACCCAGATTTTTTAGATTTAAAGTGGGTTTTTGATCCTCAATTCGGCCCAAATCGGACTTTCAAAAGCCAGCGGGCCAGTTTCCGATGAATGGACTGTAGCTCACCAGTCTTCCTACGGCCATGTTGACACACTTCTCGAAACCTGTGTCTGTATCCAGAACAGCGCCGGCATTCCTGATGGGAAAAAAAGAAGAAAAAAGCGGAACCAGCAGATTGTAACTTTGAACAACATGTTTTAACCATTTCACAACCAAACTTTCAAAAATCGATCCACCTGTATCGATGCAGTAGGCGATCTCAAGATAATACGTAGCATTCTCAAATATTGTTGGACCATCACAAATATGGGCTCTGCATCGTCAACTGGCAGCAAGAAACAGTCTCCTACAGCAAACAAATCATAGTGATCAGATGAGGTCATACACATGTCACTCATATGTGATAAGGTCATCTCTATATCTGAATGAGATGACTGCTATGCCAAGTCTCACAGCTGCTATAGCATCGCTAGTCTGTAAGCGAAGGTCCCAAGTTCGAGTCCTGCGGGTGACAGCCATTTTTAAATTTGTTTTACAGATTTTGTCCTTTTTCAACTCCCTCAAGTGATAAAATAGCATCTCATTTATTATTATTATTCACACATATCCGCCGAATGAGTACGCGTGGCCCATGCACCATGGGAACCCACGAAAAACCAGCATATGTTCCCTCAGCAATACAAGCACGCAAAGATAAATGAGAGCCCAGGCAGCGAAAACAAAGCGAAGAGAGAGAAGGGGGGACATAGGCAACGAAAACAGTTCCAAAGTGTAGCTGGGGATTGTATGTTCAGGGGCGTAGTAGCCAGTCCGGCCGGTGCGGCTTTGGCCAGACACCTTTTTTTAACACCATGTCAAAAGTGCCCAGAATGCAGGATTTTGCACCCTAATTTCAAAATTTTCCCGCGGGAGACCCCCGCACACCCCTCCGGCCGGACCGCCCCCCAACGGTGGTGCTACGCGCCTGATGTGTGCATATGGGTACGTCAGTTAATACGGCTAGTGCATCTCATTTACACTTGTAGAAATCACTCACATCGGACACTCGGCTGTGATGCTGACTTGCACACCACTGTGAGGCAGAACAGTCACTTTACCTTCTTTGATCAGATTCTGAGCACATCACATTCAGCAAAAGACAAGAAAGTGAGGAGAATCATCAGATAATAAGCTAAAGATTCGATTCTCCTCGAAACCAAATATAATAGCACAGCAACCTACAAAGGAGAGGAGAGACAACATGAAGCCCATTCTCACGAGTCAAGTTTACAGCCAGTTCACTTCCCAGAGGCTGCAGGCCTAGTGATCGAGCAGCACAGTGCATGTAGATCCAATCAACAATCAAGTTGAAACATGTGCTCCTTCAAGGCGAGCGCTGATGACCCTAGTTACATCAACAGCATTCCGAGCATTGCCGCTTCCGCTCCTCTGTTCCAGAATATGCATAGGCAGCACCAGGACCAACACTGGCACTGTGTACACACGTGTAAGCACAATAAGCTCAGGTGCTCGAAGATAATAGAGAGGTTAAGATGCACGTTATTTCTGACGTGAAAAGTTCAGCTCGCGTTATTTGGCTCGCACGTCGAAGAATCAACGCAAGCGACCTGCTGCTCACATCGAAATTTTGGAGTTTTGCGCCAAATTTGACGTGAAATTGCGCGTCACGTCGGGAATAACGTGCATATTAACCTCTCTAATGTGACTTACGGCTAACTCCCGTTGCACAATGTTGACGATGTTGGAAGAGTTCTTGGTCAGGATCTCCACAACCGAACCAGGCATTCTCCTCGATAATGCCTGAATACACACATTGTAGGCATGCATGCACGTGCATACGAGCGTGTGAACACATGCATACACAGTTCGACACACACACACACGTACATACACACGCACACATTTACACACATGCACATATTTACACACACACACACACCAAAAGATACCATAGCAAAATTGACAAACACATAAAGATAGAAGAAGGAAGCAGACGGAAAACGGACAGCCAAACGGATGGACAAAAAGAGGAAGACAGACAGAACTGATACTGGTAGCTATGAACACCCAGGAAACTGATCCCACAGTGAGAATGAGGGACGATGTTCAGATAGATAGTAAATACCAAATTGCAATTATTCCTTACCAAATATGCCGGCTCAGCGTCTTGCGTGACGGCAAAGATGGGCAGAATATCCGCCTGTTGCATCTTGTAATTGAGAAAGCTGATGGACGGGTAGTCCTGGTGCAGACCGGCCGTGTAATCTCCCTCCGGGTTTGTGTGACACTTGCCGTCATTTGGCGTTACTATTCCTGCAAGCTGCAAGTGTACACAAGCAAATATATATTTGCAGTCACAGCCAAATAATAGTTTAGTTTTATTTAATTTTTAATTTTTTTACTAGCAAACACAGCCCTCCTAATAATCAGGGAAAGAGGACAACTGAAATGACACTGGACAACAAAACAAAGGACAACAAAACAAAGGGGAGTAGAGGCGATGTGCCGATGTGGTTGGCGAGGCTCATCCGACCAGAGGTCTCGGAATCATAGCCTACGACCAAGCATCGATAAGTGACACAAACTGCTTCATAAATATCGATCTCTCATGCAAAACCAAAAAAAGAAGGTTCGTTAACGGGTAGATGGGTCGAGGAGAATTTTCACTTCAAAAAACCCACTGACAGCTGAAACATCAGCCCGTTCTAGCTGAAAAGTCATTACAATTTTCGTTCAGTGTGGAGGTTGGGTGGGTTCTGTAGCGAAAATTATCAATACCGTCCAATTTCTATATTTTTCATATTCCAGAGAATATACGGTAATTAGATTACACAACCTACCCGTCCATCTCCTGCAGCATGGTAGTTTGCATCAGTGGCGATGATGATGACTTTCCTCGCTTCCTTACGCCAGCCAATCACCTGTAGGTTGAGACACAGTGAGCCATAGAGGTACATGCATTAGAGAGTACATCCCAGCTTCTTGCAAGATTGGATTTGGATTTTGCCAACCTATGGCATACACATTTGATGTGTAGCTGACTAATAGAATACGAATGGCGGCGGTTTCAGTCAGGTGTGAAGTTCACAGCCAACATGGGCAGGCTGTAAAAGAAACAAATATACATACCTCTTCACAGACCGTGGTCTGCATCAGAGCTTCCAGGGTTCCTTCAGGCGTGTCGATGTTACCCGATATGGTCTCACGTTGCACCGCCATCTGATGAACAAGTGTGCACATACAAATACCCCACATACATGTAAACATGTGCAAACAAAAGTAGCAGCAAACAAGCCTTGATTGTCCTTGTTGTTCTGTATTCGTATTTGTATTTATTTACCTGCATGCTGGCTAGCTGCTGATGTTCCCCCATCATTAAAAAAAATACTTTACCTATTTCCCATGGAGCTTTTTGGGTGAATTTTTTACTGGTTTAGAAAGTTGATTCATATAGTGGTAAATACACACCTGGCAATATGGCGATAAATACACGCCTGCCCTCACACTCTCCCTACGCTGCAAAGTTACTCTGGCAAAGAGCTCTCCTTCTCACCACCACCACCAACATCAGTGCGCGCCTAGTCGATGCATGGTAAGTGGTCTCTGATATACCAGGCTGGCACATCAGGTAGCGCATGGCGCATAGTAGATGGTGGAGCAACGACATAGCTCGATTGCAATGCACGTTTATAAAGTGCTGCATATATTACGGAAAATACGGTATCTATTTTGTTCCACAGGATATATATATGTGTAGTCATTGTACACAAAGAGACTACAGGACCGACAAGGCTATTGTTAAAAGGGCAATCTCGGTGCAGCACATACCTGAAACAACTGCGAGTCGTTGATCAAGGGCAGGGTGTTGGTGAAGCTGTAGGGTTTCTTGCAGCCTGCGCATGGATACAGCACACTGGACAAAGGAAGAAAAAAAACAGAGATACGCGTGAAAAGGCAACTCATGCATGCTGCAGTCAGACTAGTCAAGGGGAGGTATGTACCAAAGATGGCTGTAAACGTTTTTGTCGGGCAAGTTGCCCCGTTTTTGGCAGGTACAACCCATTCTAGTACATTTATGAGTATGACCTTACAAAGTTCATGGCCTTTTATGCAGAGCTGGTATTACAGTGCGTACGGCTGTAGTGGACTTGCCCCACAAAACATTGAGGTGGCATCAGACAACATAAACATATCTTCTGCAGAGCTGCAGACCTAAAGCAACAGTTTTGGCCCGTGCAATATACACATCTCTGTTGTGATCACGCCCCAGATTTGACACCATAGTCATGCCGAAAGCATGGTAACGTCAAAACCTCTTTAGGACGAACGCCAAGGGACTGATGGCATTTGTTCGCAATACCGGGAGTTCCGCGTATTCTGGAAAATTGGTTTACCAAAATTTTCGTTGATTTTGGGAAATACCGAAAATATTTCACCACCGAAATTCCCGGTTTTACAGTATTCGCTTGTGCCCGTCAGCGGATCATAAACAAAACTAAACAAAAAGGAAAATACACACATGATATACTGCTAGACTCACTTAAATCCCTGCATGAGTGCAAACGGTGCGGTGGTCTTGTCCACATAGGAACCGTACCCGATGCGGTAGTTGTTCGAAACGGACCGGATGGCATTGGCTGTGGTAGGGTAACACATGCAAACAAACACACACACACACACACACACACACACACACACACACAGTGAGTTACCTTTCCGGGAGGATAATGACGAGGCACAGCGTCTCTTCGTTATTATCACTGACCACCAGAAGAGCGTGTTTAGCAATGTTCAGTACACAAAGTCTCCATGCCGATCAATCAACACACTCCTCAGGGGCGTCGGAAGGTATTTTAGTGTGGTACGGTCACCCATCTGAAGTACAATTTACTCGTGGGGGAGTGGTGGCTGAGCCGAAAATTTTGGAAATTTAGATACCAGATCAGCGTATTTTATTGATTCACAGGACAGGGTACCTGGCGCTAAAAGTGGTAAGGTTAATACCGTTGTGACCGTACTGTGTCCGACGCCCCTGCAGTCCTACAACACCAGCCAGGTTTAACAGCCCTACAGAACCCTCACAATCGCTACCAGCTTAACACCCTCATTATTAATCAATGATGCCACACGCCAACCATATTCCAACATGATTATGTTGCAGTACTGACCGAGTGAAACCGAGTTGAGCTTGAGTGTATCGAGATCATCCTTCATGGAGTTGGAGTGATCCATTAGGTAATACACATCCAGAGGGTAGTTGGGCTGAGGGCGTAGCTTGATCTTCATCTGCACTTGCTCGTCTAGTCCAGTGCACGTGCACAAACAGAACACACACACACACACACACATGAAGATATGTACACATGGACAGACATATACACATGCACACACATACATACACACGCGCACACATCTCATCTTAAAGGGGAATAGACCATAATTATAAAACTTGGGACATGCAGACATAGGATACAATGGAACCATCAGGTACTTACTCTGAAGTTACTAGTATATGCAGCAATGCAGCTACCATCTCTTAATGTGCGCGAGCTCCACTGCAGCCACTTCATTACATGAACCCCTACACACACCATCCTCAAATCAAGTGGTCTCTTCCACGCAAATTACAATTATCTCAAATCAAATTTTCGGCCAGGAGCCATCATCAGGATACGATCAAGAAACACTATTGACGTGTTCACGTACGGGGTCTCAAGCGAACAAAGAACTTTTGTGGGGCAACTTGCACCTGTCCCTCTAGTGGCAAATTCTGAAGTGAAAAGGAGAAAGGAACACACACAGACACGTCAAGCAAAAGACAAACGACATAATATCAGGGGTGGTGCAAGGTGTTACGAGTTGGTCCATTCCCAACCTCCATTCCCTGTGCTCACTCACATGTCCCACTCACTCGGGTAGCTACATCTTCTCCACGCTTGCCATAGCAACCCACACTCCATAATTGCCATAGCAACCCAGAACCTTTTCACATTGCCGTACCCCCAACCTTAAAGGGGAAGTTAAGGCAAAAATTAAAATTTCACCAGTTGTAGTCTTCGGGGTGCTGAGTCGAATGGTCTTGGTCCGAGGAAGCTGAGACGCTCCCTTCCTACTTGAATCCCAATCGAACTCGCGCACTTCCACCGAAACTGGGTGACTGCGCCCTACTAGATGGGGATTTGTATGCAAAATGTCACTAAAAGTGCCATTTTGTTCTTATAAAAGCACGGATGACCGCGATTGGCCCATATGTTGTAGTCTTTTGGACGCCGAGTCGACTGGTTTTGGTCCGAGAAAACTGCGATGCAGCGTTCCTCCTTTATTCCCAATCCAACATGGTTGAACAAGTGGTCACGTGCTCCTGCGTGCCCAAGTCACCTGGTCACAGCGCCAGCAGGCGACAACTTTGACACCAATTTTCGTTCAACTCGAGTGACAGGACTGCACCCAAAAAAGGTCAAACAGGCTAGGAAGTTGTACCCTGCAGGCACGGTGACCAGGTGACTGGTGTACGCAGGAGCACGCGACCGCTTGTTCAAGCATGTTCGATTGGGAATAAGGGCCGAACGCTGCATCGCAGCGGACCAAAACCAGTCGACTCAGCGGCCAAAAGACTACAACATATGGGCCAATCGCGGTCATGCGTGCTTTTATAAGAATGAAATGGCGCTTTTAGTGACATTTTGCACACAAATCCCCATCTAGTATGCGCAGTCACCCAGTTTCGGTGGAAGTGCGCGAGTTCGATTGGGATTCAAGTAGGAAGGGAGCGTCTCAGCTTCCTCGGACCACGACCATTCGACTCAGCACCCCGAAGACTACAACTGGTGAAATTATGATTTTTGCCTTAACTTCCCCTTTAATAGAATGAAACTTGAGTGGGGAACGTCACAACTCGTGAATCCCTTTCGGCCACTATCTAAAAAGTGATGAAATGTAGTGGCTTTCGCATCAAAGCTCTTCAAATGGATACTGAATATTGCTCTTTCCCTTTCGGTAAAATTTAAGGAATCCGACGTATTTGTGTCCAGTCGTTTTGATATCGGAGTACTTCATTTATGTAGCACAGATTTGATCTAGAGCTCTGCTCAATGAAATCCACTCGCATCACCCAAGCCTTGCACAGTTCCGCAACCCTGTGCGCAACGCTTAGCGCGTACTTGAGTGACGCGACTGGATTTCACTTGTGCTGAACTGCACTTGGAGGTGCGTGTGTGGTTTACTCAAGTTTCATTGTAGGGCAAGCACAAGGGAGTTTTTTTTATGAACTCTGTCTTACACTCTGTATTTTCATCTCGGACTGCGGGTGAACAATATGCGCGGGATCACAGCCGAGTGCGTTGGTGCTGCACCGCCCAGTCGACCATTTTTCATCCTGAGCCAGTGCAACAAAGACAAGACAAGAAAAGCACAAGAAAATCACAAGATAGAAACTGCTTCAAATTGGCAATGTCTCGAGACTATCTCTAGAGTATTTAATATCCACACAAGTATAATGTTCCATGCCAGAACATTGTTGATAAGCAAATTGGTAATCACACTATAACAGTATATGAGACATGGTTAAGTCCTGCCTGGGAGCGTGTTTTCCAGCCGTGCTTCTACCCACAGTCAACTGGGAACTTGTGGCCAGGCACAAGGGGTACATGGATGCGGCTAATGGGATTTCTCGGCACTTGTGCCAGTGGTTGCGATACTTATCCCTTCACCTCCATTGTTAGGCGCTGCATCTGCCGCTAGGGTTTACCGGGCGTTAGCGGCCGTTGTGAGTTCCCTTTGGGAACAGGTACGATAAATTTACTTTTTCTTAGGCCAGTTGTCATAGTGATAATCCATACGCAGTGGCTATGTCCCCTTACCCGTTCAGAGCACCACATACACCCGGGCGATATGTCTATGCATTGCGAGCAATTCGCCGCATCCTTGCAATCTTGAGCTGCGCGCGGAAACACACATGAAAAAAAGCAGCGCACCGTCACAAAGCGGTCAAGTGTGTAACCTTGGTAACAAGCGATTGAGCCACCGAAGTCAAATAAATTCAATACAAAAACACAATAGTGCAAATAACACAACGGCGTAGATAAAGGGCTTGACAGTGCTACGTCCCAGCCAGCCCTCCGGTGTCATATCAACACTGACTCTGTGATACTGCATTTTGACCTTGTGAATAATGACCCTCGTTCATGACCAAGAAAAGGGCCATTACCGTATTTCCCCGATTGTAAGTCGCACTCGACTATAAGTCGCACCCACATTTTCAGGTCCATGTCATTATCGTTTCAATAAATTCACTTCAGCAGTAAGTCATGGTCGATGGTATGTCGCACCTCCTTTCTTGGCTCTGTAGTTTAGTGTGAAAAGGTGACTTATATTCGGGGAAGTACGGTACTTGTGAGTTTTCATTATTCGTGAGGTTGCCAGTATGCAGTCAAATGATTCCTGGGGCTGAAGATCGTGCCTGTTCCCGTGAGTTGTTGCCATACCCGAGGTTGTCACAGGGTTGAGTGTAGTTGTGTGTACTGTCGGAAACATGGAAATCCGGTCGCATGTCTAGCGGCCCCAGGGCGCTGGCCATGCAGCCGTCAGTACGAGAAAGCAAACGTTTACACATTCATTTACGCGCTGCAGCGCGGTGGTCGCATCGGATCAACATGGGCACTGCATGCAACGTTCTGTGCGCACTGAGGGCGCCGGCCCCGGTCATTCGACCGGATTTCCATGTCCACCACAGTTTGATGTGACGGCACAGAACTTTTCCACTGCCACAATGGACGCACAGGTACATCAAGTATACGCATTACTCATACAGCGGTAGAGCCAGATTTAACCATGGTACCGAAGAAGTCGTTCAGGGTGGGTCACAAACAGGAGAGTAAAGTTTGTGTCACAACCACCTGCGGAGTGGTTTCACATCACATGACCACACAGGACAGCCATGTTGGCTCCAACTCCACTCAATCCCTGCATCATTGGGTCACTTGATGTCGGCCATGTTGGTTCCACATGCCATGGTCACTTTCTGCATAGATTTAGTCCGTGACCGAAGATGTGAAACCAATCTACTGTAAAAGCAGAAATTTTCGGTGGTGTTTTATTTTCGGTAACTTCGGTGCCGACAATTTTTACCGAAAATAAAACGCACCGAAAATTTCGGTGCAACCGATACTGTATACATGTAGTACTAGTACACTTACCTGGAAAACGGGTTTTACCGAAAATTTCCCTCCACCGAACCGCTGATTTTGGAGAATATTGAAAATATTACACCACCGAAAATTTATGCTTTTACAGTATACAATTGTGTTGAGAAAATGATAAGACTTTGCTTTGTCGTATGCATGGTACCTAGCAAGTGAAGAAATGGCCTTACACACCTATTATTTGAAGTATAACATTGTCAAAAAAAAGGAAGAAATTTCCCCGATTATAAGTCCCACTCGATTGTAAGTCCCACCCCTAATTTCAGGTCCATGTCATATCGTTTTGATATATTGCCTTCAGTAGTAAGTCATGCTCGATTGTAAGTCGCACCCCTTTTTTACCCTGAATTTTATGTAAAAAGGTGCGACTTATATTCGGGGAAATACAGTAGTTTCCGCAAAGGGCTGGAATGGTGTGTCAGCCTAAAACTGTCACTTTTACGAATGGTCTTGATCCTAGAGGATGGTGGCGTTCCTGCGGAGGCAGCAAACTCAGTCTAACTTGAGTGGCACGCTAATCGTGGAAAACATTTTTTTACGGGCCGCACCTTAGGTGACTATGTCATCAACTAACACACAATTTTTCATTCGAAATTTCAAATCTGCCATTCAAATCTCAATGCAGGTGACCTACATGTATGTCCTTCCCTCCACTGATAATAGAACCTGACTGAGAGCTTTCCACATGATACATGCAGCACTCGATACAAAATCATAGCTATGCCCTCACTACTACACTAGCCTAACTTTACTTACAGTCTCAGACTAGTACCGCACAAGTACAACAGGAGCGCCACTAAAGTTGGCTTACTTCAAAACACCCTACTCTGTCTCTAGTCAGAATCAATCATTATGTACACATACCACTGATCGTGACGAATCCAAACGATACGACCAGCGCAACAAACAACGCTGACCTCATCCTTCACACACGCACACTGCTTGGCAGATTCTACCTGTAGCTTCAGTACTGGCTGCGAAGACGAATTCTGCAAGTCGTCTTGTCTTCGACAGGAAGCTCTGTACGACGATTCCACAAAGCAACGTTTCTTCCTTCCACCTCAACCTCGCTGACACCACGTAAGGCAATACTACCACGGACAAACCCCCTAAAGTTCCCAACAGGCTGACGTTTTCGCTTTCCTCGTTTCGACAACACGAATCGTTTCTCCTGGAGATGGCGGGCCTGCCCGAGCCAACGCATGGGTGTGAGGCGAGTTTAGGCGAGGCAGCGTCGAGGAAGCAGATTTACTTGCAATGGCGGTCGTAGCCGTCAGTCAGCTCCCGTAGCCGATTCCCAACGCCGGTCTCCTTCTCGGCTGCTGCTTTGTCCAGCGGCAAAACCACGATTTGGCAGTACTGCATTCGCTGGCTATGAACTATGCCACACTAGGTGACTTGGGAACACAAGAGTGGTAAATCTTCGATGAGAGTCGATCCTGGTCGTCACGCCACGCTCTTTTGTGTTCACACTGCAGATGTCCCACGTCATTCGATATCACTAAACCGTAAGTGGCAAAGATGCAACAGGCGTCGGCTTTGACTGCCCTCTGCGGCTCTGGCGAGTTGTAGCCAGCTGCAGTCGTAAACGGTATTACACAGGCGTGACACTACAAAAATTATGCCCTGGACGGACGAAACTCTCTCCCGAGTCGGCGTATGCTCACTTGAAAGTAAGTGCAAACCGTGTCTTGCACCTTTGAGTTTGAGTTTGAGCGTAGTCAACCGGGGCTCGGGATGCTTGCTGGTCATGAGCCCGACGGCCTGAGTCCAACTCCAAGCTACAAAGTACATGATTGTACAAGCAGATAGCAGCATTGCATTGCGCAGCGTAGTAGCCGAGATGAGAACGACGGTGGTACTGGTGGTCTACATGGTGTGGACGAGAGATCGAGAGTGCCGCTTGAGCCTGTTCGGTGGAGCGTGGCGGGACACTTCATGGCGTGGACGATAGTAGCTGTGTGCGGCGGCACTGTTAGCGTTCACTTGGTACATGTATACAGCATCCGTGCATTCGCACACGAACAGGAAGGCCGTGTCCTACAAAACACAATAGTTAGAACGAGCACCAACAAAGGTTCTTTCTTGCTGCTGCTGCTGCTGAACTGCGCGCACTATCGCAGTATCGGCCGTTGTAGATTCGACAAACCACTGAACGAGCAAGCAATGTCCGGCCGGTGCTGCAGCGCTTCCACATGACGACGGCACACGAACCACGTGTCTGGCTGACATGACAGCATGCACAGCGGGCCCATGTGTGCATACACGACGCACAGAACACCTGTGGGGCACACACAGGAAGCGAAAATTACTCTTGATGAACATACTGTAACACTGCGTGGTCATCAGCGAACGAGTTTCAGAACGTACCGTGATACTGCCACTTGAGTAGGAGGGTGGACAGCTATCTATTGTAGATGTCAGAGAGATAAAACTCAAACCAGGTTGAGGGAGTCGTAAAAGCCGATTTCCTGAGTCAAACTGTCCGCTGGTTGCTGAAAATGAGAATGGCGCTCCATTCGGTTGTAGAGAGCTGTTTCTTTGCATGAGCTCCATGATGAGTTTATCGCTTGCTTCGCGCTCCAGATAAAGGTGTGAAGCAGCCATACTATGACACATTTTTCATAAACTAATTACTTACTTCCTCACCTCTGCCCTGGTGGTGCACGCAGTAAGACAATAGCCATGGTTAGCATTTTACCGTTCACGCTATTTTCGACGGTCGGCGTGGAGTCTACTGTTTTTGATGTGTTTTTAAGCAGTTCGGCTTCTGAGTCCTGACTCCTGACGCAACGATAGACGTGTGAGGTAACCCTAGTTGGAATCTTACCGTTTCGTTCTCCCGCTAAAAAGAGCTTTCTATCGTCGAAACGGTACCAAACCGACGATATTTTGGGTTTGGGGTACGAGTCCCGTTGGATCTAGCGCGTGAACTGTAAAATGCCATGTCTATACACACAAAAAACGGTGCAGGCCGACCGTCGAAAATAGCGTGAACGGTAAAATGCTAACCATGGCTAATGAGCCCTCACTCAGCATGGCTCAGCTGCAGCGCGCGACAGCGGGCTACCCTTGTGTGCGAAGAAGGCGTCGCGCACACCCCAACAATGCAACATGGCCGCTTGGCTAGACGAAGTGAATACAGTATAATGTACATGACCGTCGTACTGGCAAAAACCGTCCATTGCCACGACCCCCCCCCCCCCCTCCCAAAGCAAGACCAAAATAATAATCATGGAGCTCAACCTGATGTGTAGACATGCATTTCCGGGTGCGTGTGTCATGTGTGAACTTCTCACCCCACCACCACCCAACACACACACACACACTGTGACACAGACACAGACACGCACACCAAATCACTCACTCAGAAGACAGTTTTTGATTATGCTGATAATAATATCACCGATGGTCAGACAATGGTCATACAATTGACAGCTAAATTGTAGATCAAGATGGATCCGTGCTCGGATGATACCGCTCTGAGTATCTGAGCAATCGAGAGGAAGAACAGCAAATGCATTGTTTAAAAGCGATTAGCAAAATACGTTATGCTGCATACCACCATGGTGGTGACATCATCTATGACATCACGAAAGGAATGGCCGCATCAGAGATGTGAAGTTGTGAGCACTCTTCGAACAATTACATTGTGCCACAGCTGCTATCGAAACAATAATGTATAGTAGTGTTCACTGATTTGAGGGAAAGATGTAAACGTAAAGTAATGTTGTACCCGATTACTGTACTTTAGGCACCGGCGGATTCTGCTCGAAAAAGTGGCAGGATCGGCTCGAAAAGCAGTGAAATTGGCAGAACCATACAAACCTTATGGCGGACAATTCCTCGAATTCTGCTCCATTTCTTTATCCACATACCGAACATGCATGAAACTTACCAGAAATGTACCGAATTTTGCCAATTTTTCTGCCGGCAGAATCCGCCGGTGCCTACTGTACTTATCTTCACAGTCAGAGGAGAACGATTTTTGCAAATTGCCATTTTTAAATACACCTTTCATAGTCCTTACTACATATTGGGAACTTTGGCAGGGAAGTAATCATATGGTGAATATATTGGAGCAGAACGCGTATAAAAGCAGAGACCATAATGTCTAAATAATCTGGAAACTTGATAAAATTGAGGGGGTTTGATTTATTGCATCATTTTTAAACTTGGTGATTAACATTCAAATTGAAGCGACGGACATTTGCGCGTGTGTGTATACGTAGGGTGTGTGTGTGTGTGCGTGCGCACGCCCACGTGTGAGTGCATGTGCCTGTGCATGCGTTAATGCTAAGAAGACATGTAGCTAGCGCAGAAGAAATTACCATTGCTCCAGTCCGTCGGCAAAGCAGAAAAGCACTCACATTCATTCGCGGGGGAATCCAGCTTGCAATATCTTCTTCACGATTTGTCAGAGCACTGTGAACATAAAAGATGTTATGATCGTGATGGTAGTGACTTTTAAAGCAGCTGGCCATAGAGTTGCCATCGGCGTGAGCGACAGCAAAACTGAAGACCATGCCCGCACATGTAATAGGTTGCTGAGAGAGCCTTCAAAGATCATAGTTCGTACTGTCAATAACAGAATATTGAGTCTGTTTGTTTATAGATGTCTTGAGTCTGTCAGAAATTGTCCATTGGCCTTGTTCATTTGATTTTGCCTGTAGATCACGTGACGATAAGGCTTGAATGTATACTAGAGAAACTGAAGATATTCTTGAAGAGCCTGACACGTGTCCTTCTTCTGAGAATTATCGCATTCTTGTCTCCGAATAAACTGATCTGTCACGAATAGCTCTTTCTACTGGCTGGAGTGGCTGGCAGTACTGAGAAGCGAGTAGGTGGACGGCTTACGGGTGGGTGCTCGACGTGATGTGGCTGGACGGTTGCTGCCGGGCTGCCCGATTGACACTTTCTGCTTCGATTGTAGAGACAGCGTCGTCATGATCTAGATCCACGAAAATAAACAGAGAACATGTGGATCAGATGGAATTGCCATGAACTCGGCCGTCGTGTAGATGTTTTTTAGCCAACTCAACAACACAAGTCTTAGCACCTCATTGACCCCGCTCATTCCTCATTCTTCATTCCATTCGGCCTAAGCGAAGACTAGCCAAGCTTGCTTGGCGATGTCAACGCGAAAAGGCTGACAATAACAATAATAACACAAGTCTTGCCGTGACACTCATACATTGCACAAAGAGGCCGGCCAGGAAGGATGAACAAAACTTATGTTGGGAAGTGGCAGACCAAACTTGATCAAGTAACCACAGGACCGGTGGAAGCAGTTTTTGATTGGTCTAGCCATACCCTGGTACCCTAGCCTTTCATACCCTGGTATCCTAGCCTTTCATACAGTTGTATGATAATAGTGGGTATACGTGTGATCTCCTCACAGTAAACACACGTTGGTGATCTAAAAGTTGATCCGACCATGGCCTGACCAACCGGACCGGTTCCGTCGGGTCTGAACCATACCCCCCCCCCCCTCCCTCGTCTTCCCTCTCCCTAACTCCACTATCCAAAGTAGATTTGTGATGAATTCCATGATGGCCCATGGACAATCAGGAAGATGCAATGAATGGATGGAAAGCAAATCTAGCTACAGTGCTGAGTCGGATTTCAGGCCTGAGCGATTCACATTCTAGCAGTCTCTATTTCGTAGTGTTACAATCCTGGGTTGGGTCGTTGCGATGTGAGCCCACCGCTAAGGGGTCGGATTTCAGTTTCCAGCACTGTAGAAGGACATGAAATGAGTTAAAACGGAGCGGGAATTAGAGACACTTGCCTAGGTTGGTGAGCAGTCCGGGCTGCTACAAGAGCAAATAGATGGAATAGCGAGGCTAGATACTTATGATTTAAGCATGGGGTTGCTTCCTACTTCACAGAGATCAGAAGTACAGTATTGCTCAATGAAATCCGGTTGCGTGAGTCAAGTTTGCGCCTTGCACAATTTCACGGGCCAGTGTTCGCAGGTCTTAGAGATGCGCAATGCCCAGCGTATACTTAAACGACGTGACTGGATTTCATTGAGCAGCATTTTAGATGATTTGATCAAGGCTTACCCGTTGTGCGGTGCTCTTCAGTTCAATGTCGTCCGCTCCGCTACTAGCGCCGAGTAACGGTCTCTGGGCATCACCAGCACCAATGCTGTCACCATCTCCATCCGGTACATCAACTTCCTGCTCTTCCGGTACGTCCTCCAGGGCGGGGTTATTCTCCCCCGTTCCGGCCTCCTTGTCGTACTCGGCCCGCGTATCCACGTTGACGAGCAGCGACGTGCTCTCGGCTCGATCCTGCTTGATGGCCATGTTCTCCTTGACGATCTGCAGCACTTCGGCGGCGATGTCGTTGAAGCCGAGTGACGCCATGATTTCACTGTATATACCGGCACATTCACATCACGCACACCAAACCCACATGAACCGCTGGCAACCACTTGTCACCTTCTTATTCTTGCCGGAACTAGCTCTGCCTTCCGGCATTGAGCACTGTATTTGACGGCCTGCAACCTCTCAGCCTTAACCCCACTGACAATAGAGTGGCCAGAGGTTGTCATGACAGTATGCAAAAAGCCTAACTAGGGCACCAAGACGATGAATATCATATACTCTCTTTCTATCAGTATCAGAACTTCGGAGTCACTCAACTCAAACACTCAAACACTCACACACGGTCTCTCTGCTGCATACGTCACTTAAAGCATGTTTGCCAAATTTCCGTAATTGGCTCATCACCGGGGTGAAATAGAACACTAACCTTTGAATTGACGTACGCAGCAAAGAGAACGTGCTGGAGTGCTAGAGTATCACATGACTGATCTCAATGTGTAACTAGCTGCAATGGAGTCTGTGGGTATCTATTTAGAAAGTGGTTTATCCGAGCTTCGTGCCGGCTGAACATAGGTCGAAATGTTGGCGTACACGTGCCCCCCCCCCCCCCCACCCACCCACCAATTCTGGCTACGCGCCTGGCTATCCCATCAGCCTTTACACATTATTTTATGGAGTGAAGGATGCGGAAACAGGGTCCATGCTCAAACAGGAAAGATATTTACTTGTAAGAGGAACCCAATGGGCAGGACCGCTCAGTCAATGTCACTGAAACGGTTATGATCCGCGTCCGTACCTATTCTTCCATGAGAGTGCGTTGACAATTTCCAGAATCAAATGCAGCAGCTGTTGATTTCGTGTGCTGACCATGAGAGCAAGTGATTGCTTGACTTCGGTCAGGGGTAGTAGTGGACACAGCTACAAGGCGATAATGCGCATGGACATACGTATGCATACAAACAAACGCACGCATGTAAGCACACATATGCTAGCAGTTCACAAGCACACACACGCACACCCCCCCCCCCACACACACACACAGCGGCACACACCCGCAAACACACGTACACACACACATACTGAAAATTCTGTACGCACATAGACCCCCTCCCCCCTCCCCCCCCCCCCCCCCCACACACACAAGAAAATATCAGCATGCAGGGCTTGCGATGCAGACAACACAAGGGCCCAGAAACAGTTGGACTCGCCATGAGCAAGAGATAAAGTACCACTAGTTCTTATATCCAGGAACCAGCGAATTCCACTGGCAAACCGTGAATGCAAACTCACACTGGTGTATATCAGACATGGAGGTCAAGAAAGCCAGGAATCGCTTCACATACAGCCCGGGTGATACTCATATTATGATCATGGAATGAACAAAACCAGTGAAGAACATCTCAAAGGTTTTTTCAATATTGTGACTACATTTTGCCAGTACTCTTCCAACTCCATTATGGCACACACATCTTGCCTTCAGCCCTTCCTTGCATCGAATAGGGTGGAAGCTTGCACATACACGCACGGATGCATGCACGCATGCACGCACGCACACACACACACACACACACACACACACACACACACACACACATCATGATGAAGGCCTACCGTTTTTTCCTCGGCGTAGCACAGCAACAGCTGTGCTGTGGGCAGTAATATCTTCAAATTCCCTGTATTTTGAGGCATCGAGAGTAAGCTGGGGATGAGGTCATCCTGCAGAAACAAATGAAAATGCAGGCACAGATACAAAGAAATGAATGCAAAAAGATTATGAGACAGACAGACAGAAACAAAAACAAAAAAAATTCACAAACATGCACACAAATTACGCATAGACACATACCACATACAATTTTTCAGACAGACACACACCTTGAACACACACACACACACACACACACACACACACACACACACACACACACACACAGACACACACACACATGAGCGTGCGCGCACACACACTCCCCCCCCCCCACACACACACTCTTTCACATGCATACTCCCCCCCCCCCCCACACACACACACAAGCCGTCAACGAAATTAAGTGGCATCCCCATTATGTCAACAATGGGAATATCGAGAGGCAACACAATCAATCTCACACAGCGATGGCAAAACCACACTTTTCAACACCACTGAATCTTGTTACTTAGGTTCGTTTGTTGGTATATTTTATTTTACTTCACCAAGTGAACAGGCATTTCTGCCTTCTCACCAGGTCCGGAGACCTAGTTCCCGCAAAATGATGAGGTGAAGTAATTAATCTCTAACCTGTCCTTGCAATACACTCGGTGTTTCCATAGCTATGATTCCCAGTGCCCGCAGACAGGCTGATGTTAACTCCTCCACATCGCCTGGCTGAACAGCTTCTCTCACCATTGCACTAACTGCCAAGTCAAGGGAAAGAATGTGCGAACATTCAGTAACAGACACATATGCACACACATACACACACACATTCAAAACAAACAAACAAACAAACACACACATACAAATATAGTGCAATCATAATCAAATAGATAATAGCGGTAGTAGTTTCTTTTTTCGACCAGACGAGACCACATGACGCTTGCGACCACCAGCACGAGCAGTTCACCAAACAAGCTTGTCAAGATCAACTACTTGCTGTTGTCGAGTGTTGCTGGTGAACTGTTCGTGCTGGTGTTCGCAAGCATCGCGTGGTCTCGTCTGGTCGAAAAAAGAATCTACTACTACTATGCATCAATGGACCAAAGGAAGATGGCATCATCGAACTACAAAGAGATAAACAGTCCCTCGAGAAGACCGGTTTTCGGTGCACTATTCTCATGGCTTCAGGGACTTTGCGCACAAAATTCAGCAAACTTTGTTGGCTGAGAACCGTTCCCTCTGGTGAATGGGTGAGAAATTTGCTCAACGGATGAGAGAAACACGCTGGTCAGAGGATTGCACTTGTAATCCACACAGCACTATTCTGCCAAATCTGGCTGAAAGACATTTCCTACATGTTTTTGACTTGAAAACTACACACATAAACAAAGCTTAAAAACATGACAATGTAAAGAACATGCAGGAAGGTGAAAAACCTCTCTAAAATCCTAAAAACCTCTCTAAATCCTAAAAAACCTCTCTAAATCCTAAAAAACCTCTCTAAATCCTAAAAAACCTCTCTAAATCCTAAAAACCTCTCTAAATCCTAATAATTACATTGATCAATCTTCTCAGAATACACTGTACTTAGATTCACTCACACAGCTCTTTGTCATCACGAATCGAGCTTCTGAGCGGCGCTTGAGCGATCATGTGGTTGAGGATGTCGGCAACATACGCACTCACGCCTTCACTTCTGCTTGACATGGCGAAGGCAACATCTGAGAGTCTGGCCAGCAAACACAATTACGACCGGAATAAATTTAATATGATACCATGTTTTCCGGAGTATCATGCACTTGAAACTATTTGCAAGCAGCTGCGCAGGCTGCCCATACAACGTAAAAGCCACTTACACACACGCACGAACACACACGCAGGATACACATACCCTGTTCCTGCCGCAAGCCTTGACGCATTCTCAGCATTGTCCGCCACTACCAGTGACAGGGCGTGTGCGGCGTGTCCCTGTACTCGCACCCGGTCGGAGCGAAGCAGAGCACCCAGGCTTGTGATGCCGTCCTTCTCCACGAACACATTCTACAGACACAAGACACAGGAAAGTCACTGATACATACGCTTGACGGAGGTGCAGCGAGAAATTACCGTATTTCCCCGGAATTAGTCGCATCTTTGTGCACTAAAATTCAAGGGCAAAGAGTGGGTGCGACTTACAATTGAGCATGGCTTACTACTGCCAAGGAATATATTGAAACAATATGGCTCAATGTACAGAACTCTTCCTCTCCTCTCTTTATTGGCCGAATAGTACCGTTCACCATTTGAAATATGGCTCAAACCTGAAAATGGGGGTGCAACTTATAATCGAGTGGGACTTGTTATCGGGGAAAGACGGTGGGAGTCTTCAAAACAGTGAGTTTGACTACTCCCACCAAGACTCAAACCAGGGACCCGAAACAGAATCCACTTTTCATGAATTTTCGTCTCTGCATAAATGATGTAGCAAAGATAGTTGTTCGGGCCCAACCAAAACCCAACATGATGCTGAGATGAAATGTTGCTGCTCAACTGTTGGGGACAGTCTAGCATCATGTGATCTCATCCTGTCTTACCAAGTACACCTTAGCACAGTAAACCACAGAACTATGCAGGGGTATCGGACACGCTACAGTCACTACGGTATTGACTGTATCACCTTTTGCCCCAAGTACCCCGTGAATCAATAAAGTGCGCTGACTTGGTCTATGAATTTCCAATTTTTTTACGGTCAGCAACCCCTCCCTCACCAGTAAATTGTACTTCAGATAGCTGACCGTACCACGCTAAAATACCTTCCGACACCCCTGCTATGGCAAACGTTTCAATAGCATAGAAAACATGGACCAGACTAACCTGTATGGTGGGTACTTGCAGCATCATGGTAAGAGCTTCCACGGCCAGCTCCTGTGTTTCCTCGTGCACGGTCAAACTCAGGTTGATCAGTGACTGAAGACTGACAGGAACATAGCAAAAGGTAAACTATTCTACGGTGCCTGCACATGACCGTATATGTACATGTAGGTAAACAGGAGCCATCAACTGCTCGCCAAAACCCCAAACACACACGCACACACACACACACACACATATCCATGTCTTCAAACATGAAAAACTGGCTCGGAAGAGTTTTACAAACCAACTAACGAAAATACTGGTTCAGTTACCACAGGCAGGAGGAGAAGGAAATACAAAGCGGGTACATGTAGTTGCTTCTACTGAACGTCAGTGACAGAACAAACGCTCAGTCCCAGTCATGAAACGTCTCATGTTGTTCACTTACCCTCCCAGCTGGACTACTTGGAATTTGCCATCGTCCGAAGTTCCCACAAAACTATTGATCTGAGCTGCAGCTTCATACCTCTCAGCAGAACTGTAAGATGAGAAAAATAGATGTGAGTGTGTGCACATGTTTGTATGTGTGTTTGCATGTGCATGCGTGCAAGGGTGCGAACATGTGAGAGTTGATGAGGGTGAGCAGGGAAAGAGTAAGAAAATGAACGAGAAGATAGAGAGGAGAGAGACAAATAGCAGGACAGCCGGAAGCAGTTTTCAATTGGTCCGTCGTACCATAGTCTTCCATACTTTGTGTATGATATGGTGGGTACAGTCAACTTTGCGTATAACGACACTCGGCGGGGCATCAGAAAAGTGTACTTATTCGCGAAGTGTCGTTATACCCGAAGTCTCATTATATGTGCCACAGTTGGATGGGACTTTGCTCCGGGCATGAAAATTCTGTCGTTATTCGCGAATTGTCGTTATATCCGCAGTCGTTATTCGCGAATTGTCGTTATATCCGCAGTCGTTATTCGCGAATTGTCGTTATATCCGCAGTCGTTATTCGCGAATTGTCGTTATATCCGCAGTCGTTATTCGCGAAGTTGACTGTACATACATGTGGGCCCTCCTCAGCAGTAAACATGTGTTTGTTGCCACAAAGTTGGTCCTGTGCTAACCTGACCAACCGGACCGGTTCCGGTGGGCCGGGAGAGGGTTATAAAGATAGGGGTCAAGAGTTTTAATTAATGAGTGAGCTGTACCCGATTGGTTGAAGTGGTTGCTTTCTGCCAGCAAGTAACAACAATTCAGAAAGTGGTGGACATCACGCAACTGCATTGTAAATAAACAGGGGGTTTGTCAACTGGCAACCGCTCTATTCAGTTGCTACTCACTCTTGGCGCATGCGCTGGATGAAAAATTCTTGTATTAGCGATGTCGAAAGATTATTGACGTTTCGTCAGAACGTCAGGTTCTCACGATGGGTGACTGGCCCGAAACGTCAATAATATTTCGACATCGCTAATAAAATAATTTTTCAACAACAAAAAATATAGCGCAAAATTTTGCTCCTGTACTGTACCTGCTTTCTTCACTGCTAGCCACGGCTATCCACTGAGCAATATCTCTCAATTCCAACAGGACCGATTCCAACTTGTCACCAATCTACCAACGGCATTACACAGCATGGTGTAAAGCGTACATCAATCTTCATGGGAAGGGGTAAACACACACAGATTTCACGGCTCAATCGCGACAGTCAACCAGGCTGACATTTCAAAATACTCCTAGAGAAATAGAAAACCCTGTCACCATCAAAGCACAATGTGTAACTCTTTTTAAGTTGGGGGTGGAGTAGACCAGAAGAAGAACAATCTCACAGTTTGCCGCATCCACGTCTACCTCACCTCATGCAAGGTCATAGCTCACTGTGTGCTACTACAGCATACTAGTGCAGATCACAATGATACAAAAATGAAATGTTCACTAAAACATTAGCAAGTCTACGTCTAACACATGTGATCTCTGGCAGACCCCATCACACCAGCAACATGGCTCTGAGTTGTATGGGGAAATTGTATTTGTCCGTACAGTAAAACCAGTAACTAAAGACCACCGTGACTAGCGACCAGCCTGGTACTACAGGCCACTTCGCCAGGCACGGACAGTCTCACATTCATATAATTATGGTTGTGCGGTGCAAACCTCGAAGTAAGCACCACCTGCCACTAAAGACTGCTTTCTCTGGCCCCAAGGGGTGGTCGTTAGTCACAGGTTTCACTGTATCTACAACTTGGAGTCGTGTCGCTGTTCTGATGAGGTCGGCCAGAGAGCCCATTTGGTGGAGGTGGAATTGCTTCATTGATACACAGGCCGAAAGATACTGCTTTCCTTCGAGTATTAAAATATGCGTCAAGATTAATTTGCACGTCTCGAGACGTTGAAATTTTACTAGGCTACCAAGAGACAAGAGACGTAGAAGATTCATCAAGTCAAATAGAGACACACCAGAAAGTATCCAGTTGCCACGAAACGAAAATCTTGGTTTCCAATGTACCTTGAATCGAAGGTTGAGCCCGAGCAGAACTGCTGTTGTCATAGCACACACATTGACCAGGACGTGGATGGGATACGCAAGAGCTACAAGACAATAGAGACACCACAGACAATAACAACATTAAGATTTAATTTTCTGTCAGGGGATTCAAGAACCGGTCCTGTTATGCACTCTGATGATTGACACGTTATAATACCTACTCTGTATGCATTTCGTATACTGAATAAAAGTGCAAATTTTCCGTTAGGAATTAACTTTCGCTATATTCATTAGGGGGCGCGAAATAACTAAAGTTTGTACCAAGCGCAATCGCGCGAGTCATTTTCGAATTTCACGTGAAGTTTGGAGGACGGCACTTAGTGTCTGCACGGCGCACTTCGATTCCTTGACCCTTCTGAGCGTTCGGGGTGACAGACCTCGACCAAAAACTAAATTTAGTACGTAACGAACCTGCTGGTGGAGTGACCTAACGAAAGATCTCGTAACGAAAACTTGTACGTATACAGTATACTGCAGTGCTCACTACCCATGCTCTGTGTCACCGTCTTTTCCTACATTCGCCTGTGATGGCCGGTTGATCCTCTGTGAGTGCTATGTGCGATTGCATGCCATGTGACAGAGTGAGTCAGGACACAACAGGTCCCTATCCCAACCTAGGCCAGTCACCGAGAACCCACAAGGGAGGGAGTGGATCACCAATGCTTCTCACATTTCAGAATGCCAATAGCAACCCAGCAGGCCCGGCGGAACCTGCCCGGTTGGTCAGGCCATGGCCGGACCAGCGTTTTGACCACCAACGTGTGTATACTGCTGAGGAGGTCATGTGTATACCCTCCATATCATACACAAACTGTATGAAAGTCATGTGTATACCCTCCATATCATACACAAACTGTATGAAAGTCATGTGTATACCCTACATATCATACACAAACTGTATGAAAGTCATGTGTATACCCTCCATATCATACACAAACTGTATGAAAGTCATGTGTATACCCTCCATATCATACACAAACTGTATGAAAGTCATGTGTATACCCTCCATATCATACACAAACTGTATGAAAGTCATGTGTATACCCTCCATATCATACACAAACTGTATGAAAGTCATGTGTATACCCTCCATATCATACACAAACTGTATGAAAGTCATGTGACTACCCTCCATATCATACACAAACTGTATGAAAGTCATGTGACTACCCTCCATATCATACACAAACTGTATGAAAGTCATGTGACTACCCTACATATCATACACAAACTGTATGAAAGACTAGGGTATGGCCGGACCAATCAAAAACTGCTTCCACCAGTCCTGCCCAGGAACCATGTTCGGTATAAGCCTCCCGCTGGACAAACCTGAGAACCAGACTTGGCTGCTGCAGCTGTCAGAGGCCAGCGACAAGTCTTGTCCAGCCGCAGCTGTTTTACAGCCGTCCTGCACAATGAACCAGGCAAACACAGTGAAATACAATGTCACACAATCGCATAATATAATATCGAGGTAACCGTCTCAACCAAAATTTACTGAATATGTTAATGAATTCAAAAAGATGATGGGTGACGTTAATGAATGTCAGTAATTGCTTGCACCCTGAGTTTGGTTTTTGTCCTGCCACCCATATACTCACCAGTTTCAAATACGGTGAAGCCTGCCCTAACAGGATGCCCGTGGTGCAGCATGAGTTGTCCTGATACGACAGGATTCCACTGGATCCAGGGATGCATGTTCGATGCACAGCACGTCGATGCATGAACATTTTGTCCAGTCGATACAGGATTCCGCTTGGTACAGGGTGCGACAAGCACAGGTTTTACTGTAGAAGCAAAATGCTGATAGGATAATGTCACCGACTTCAGAGAGAGTGTGTGTGGGCAGGTGTGTACATGTATTTTCCGCTATATTGCCAGGTGTGTATTTACCACCATACTAATCGACTTCAGACCAAACAAGAGTAAGTTGGCTTCCATGTGCAATTTTTCAACTACCGTATTTTCCCCACCCAAATGTTTGCGCACAAAATAGAGACACCTACCCTAGTTATCACCGTCAATTTCATCATCGTAGTATAATCCGCATCGAATTTGTTTAGGTGAATTTAGAATGGTGTTTAAAGTGCGGATTGTACTCCGGAGAACACAGTACATGTATTGACTTACCAGCAATCTTTCAGACTTTGTTAGCAGGTAGACCCAGAGCACTAGCGAACCTGTCGCCATGGCAGCACTCAGTATGGAGTAGATGATGATAAAGCGGAAATGCCTGCGCAGGACCACAGAACAAGCACAGTGCAACATGATCACAAAACATACGGCAGGCGATGGGTTCTTTCTGCTGTTACTTAGAGTTTCAATGCCCTAGAGATTACCCAAGAAAATTGACATGATCTTCAGATAAATACAGATAAAAAAGAGTGGAGTGTTGCCGGGAGAATGAAGCGCCGAAGAACGAACAGATAAGGATATCACCCAGCACAGCATAATGTTCTATGCGCTGACGCAACCGCACAGAGACGGCAGCACACGGATACAGGTCCTCCCTCATTATAACGAGTCCGGTTACTACATAACCCCCGTTAGTAAATAGAAATCTGAAATCCCCTGGCAAAACGTGGTCTATGCAACTGTTTACAGGTCCGGTTACAACATGATCCGTTAGTACATAAAATCCGTTATAACGACCCTTTGCCCAGGTCCCTGGAGTGCCAAATAGGCCTTGGCGGATAATGCTCGAAAAGGTGGCAGATTCTGCTTTTTTTGCACCGAAATTGGCAGAACCATACAAACCTTATGGCGGGCAATTCCTCGAATTCTGCTCCATTTCTTTATCCACATACCAAACATGCATGAAACTTACCAGAAAAAGTACCGAATTCTGCCAATTTTTCTGCCGGCATTATCCGCCAAGCCCTAGTGCCAAACCCTCAGTATAAGATAATAATTATTGACCATGCAGGACCAAGGCCAAAACACGTGGGATAAAGCAGAAAGAGGAAACGTATTATGTCTATGTATTCGTGAATATTGTCGATCCTTTACATCCAAGGAAGAGTTATGTTGGAGTAACTTGGAGATTTTCAATTATCTTATAACGAGTTGAAGCATCGATAATTTATGTTGTATCGAGGGTAGCCCCGGTAAGTACGAAGTAGTGCCTATTTCACCTTTAGCTGCAAGTCCTGCTACAAGATAAGTCTCGTTATAAGATAACTTTTTCGATGGCCCAGAGATTATCTACTAACGAGGGAGGACCTGTAGTAGGAACGGTCTAGGGGGCAACGCTGATTCCCCCCTCCCAACCATTCTGTGGTCCATGACAGAACTGTATACTGTAAATACAGTCAAATCTGCCGTTAGCGACCTCTGCTGTAGGCGACCATCTACCGTTAGCGACCGATTTTCCGTGCACCGACGGTTTCACATACAAACTGATCTGTCCAGAGCGACCATCTGCTGTGCGCGACCAGCGACCGCGATTTCATGCACGGTGGCTGCATTCAAATCTGCTGTAAGCGACCGCGACCCAGGTTCAGTAACTGAGTAAGGTGCGAAACTGTACTTGCCAGTGCGCTGTCAACTGCAAAGTGTGAAAATGCGCTGTCTTGCAAGTGCGATCGACTGGCGCCTGGCCTGTACTGAGGCTGTGCTGTAGCTCTCAAGTCCAGGCAGTGTCGATCTACTGCCGTGTCGCATACGCGTACTATACGGGTATGGTCGTCGTTGAATATCAAAAATGATATTAAAAATCACATTATCCTCGTCGATTTGAGTACATGGAAGCATATACCTGGTATGCCGGATTTACCATACATCTGCCGTAAGAGACCATCTGCCGTAAGCGACCGCTTTTTCTTGCACCAAGGGGTGGTCGCTTACGACAGATTTGACTGTATACAAATTTTCGGCAGCTATTTAATTTCGGCTATATTCGGCACCAACCCAAAACGCCTAAATTAAAATGCCGATGAAATTTTTCACAGCATCTGTCGCTCTATACCATACCCTCTACCCCACGCCGAAAATAAATCGCCGCCGAAATGTCAAAAATCGTGAAGTGCCGAAATTTTGCAGCGCCGAAATTTTGTATATTTACAGTATATCAACTCAAACAGAATTTGTGGCTTTTGAACAGTTACTGGTGTGTGTTCTTGCAAAACTCGTACAAGTGCTTGATTAAGAATCCCAGCAGCAAGCGGCTTAGTGCATACAACTTGAGATGTTGGGAGCGACGCTACCAAAGATTAAAACATTTAGGATCGTAAATTTAACTCGTCAGTTTCGTGCCCTGTTATCGCACTTTTTGACTGTTTATCATCTTGTTACAGTCGTGGATAGTTGCTGCATTACTCGTTCCCATGTGATTTCTTCTATTTTCATTCAATTTAGGATCGTGTGTAACATTAGTAGGCTCATTACATGTTACATGCCTTACAGTACATTGGGCACCGTGGCAACACCGCCGACGTAGTAGAACTGTGGCATGTACAAGAATCCATACAGTGCAAAGACACCTGCAAAGGCGCAAAGAAATCAGCACGGACAACAGCATGTAACATTTTAGGTATGGAACTTGATTAACTGCGCAATTGTTTCATTTCACTTGAAAATACCGCCATTCCGGCAACAGGCTCTCAGCTGCACCAAATAGATAACTTTGCCAATATTTCGCCCATTGGGCATCATCAGGGCATGCCCTGTTGATGCCCAATGGGCTCGGAAACATTGGCAATCTATTTGGTGCAGCTGAGAGCCTGTTGCCGGAATGGCGGTATTTTCAAGTGCAAGAAATACGCTGGAATGGAATTTGGGAATTCTGAAGACACATCGTTTCATTTCATACACTCATTGCAAATGTTCATGATAGTAATGAACCACGGCTGTGAACTCACCCGACCAGAGTGCACTCCACCAGTAGTTTGTAGCGAATAGCAGGGGTACTATAAGTAACTGAAAGTAGATCAGAAACTGGACACACAACACACACACACACACACACACACACACGAAAAACACACACACACATACACACACACACACATACACACACGAATACACACACACACACACAAACACACACGAATACACACACACACACACACACACACACACACACACACAAACACACATGCACACACACACACACAATGCATCTTTTTTGTTTGAACACAATTTAACCATTTCTATGTGTGCCTACGGGTTGGCCGCGTATAATGCAGTTCGTACTCGGTCAAGTGGATTACATCATTAAAATGACATCACTATGCCAAACGAGTCGTGGCACAGGATAATATATACAGTGAAACCTGTTTAAGGCGACCCCTCAAGGGACGAGAAAAAGTGGTCGCCGTGGCCAGGTGGTCTTCTTATCCAGGTTCAGTGGGTCACATTGACCATATCCACATGTGATACATCATTTTGATCAGTGCATCACAGTGCACACACCGATGCTCCTCTAGCACGACTCATGTGCCTGGGGTCCTCAGGCTCAGCCCTGTCAAATGTCGTGCATGCACCATGTACGTCTACACTTCCTGCACTGATGTGTAGATCTACCGTGCCTGGTGCACCATGCAAAGCATACATTTACATGACTAGCACTGTGCAACACGGTCGCTGGTGGGTGGTCGCCGGTCGCGTTGAGCGAGTGGTCGCCTTATCCGAGGTGTTTTGAATGTGAATGCGTCCGTGACAAGGAAAAGTGGTCGCCATGGTCGAGTGGTCGCCATGGTCGAGTGGTCGCCATGGTCGAGTGGTCGCCATGGTCGAGTGGTCGCCATGGTCGAGTGGTCGAGTGGTCGCCATGGTCGAGTGGTCGCCATGGTCGAGTGGTCGCCATGGTCGAGTGGTCGCCATGGTCGAGTGGTCGCCATGGTCGAGTGGTCGCCATGGTCGAGTGGTCGCCATGGTCGAGTGGTCGCCATGGTCGAGTGGTCGCCATGGTTGAGTGGTCGCCATGGTCGAGTGGTCGCCATTACAGGTTTTACTGTAGTTGCATTGTCTTAGAATGCTATGAACGTAGTCTACACATTTTCGGCTCATTCAAATTTCGGTCTCCCAGGGTTAAAACCCATTTTGGCCGCATCAAATTTTCGGCCTGTACTGCTGCCGTCTGTATACACTGTCACACTGAACCTTGCAAAACAAAATGTCGGCCGCAACAAATTCTCGGCCAAACATGACCAGGCCGAAAATAGCCTAAAATTTATATGCGCTGAATTTGTGTAGACTTACAGTAAGTGGAAGTGGTTTTGAACTTACCGTCACTGCTTGCATGAACAGTGATCGTCTCTCCAGTTTGGATACTTCACTTTGCAATGCCAGCAGCACGGGAGACTCTTGCAGCTTCTTGTCAACGTGTAAGGAATTCTTGGAGCAGATCATGTTGCCGTCAATCTGTGCAAGAGATATGAGAGGGACCAGATGCAAAGGGAGGTGTTATTATGGAAAGGGAGGGAGAGAAAGAGACAGTGTGTGTGTGTGTGTGTGTGTGTGTGTGTGTGTGTGTGTGTGTGTGTGTGCGTGTTTGTGCGTGCGTGTGTGTGTCTGTGTCTGCGTGTGTGTGTGTGAGAGAGAGAGAGAGAAAAGAGAGAGAAAGAGAAAGAGAGAGAGAGAAAGAGAGAGAGAGAGAGAGAGAGAGAGAGAGAGAGAGAGAGAGAGAGAGAGGAGGAGGGAGTGAGCGAGTAAGTACGTGAGTGAATGTGTGAGAGAGTGAGTGAGATAGGAGGAGATACTAAAAGAAAACACACGGAAAAAATGGATGCACCAATTATACGCCTTTACAGAAGAATACTTAGCACAGTGGGCTTGTTGACTTCTCAAAATGAACTGTTTTTCTGTTTTGTTTTGTCTATGCTCCCGAATGAACGCGGAAAGTGGTGGTGGGGCCCTGCTGCTCAGCCGACCTTGGCGGTCTCGGCGTCTGCACAGACAAAGCGTGCCAAGAAAAAATGGAGAAGGACATAAGAGAGAGAGAGGGGAAAACAAGACGTAGCAGGTCCAGCAGACCAAAGTGTACCTTGTCATTGCCCGTGAGTGGTATCATTTGTATGACTGTACTGTCGCCGACACCTTGACTCTGCAGTATATGACAACACAATACAATTCACCAGATATACAATGTACAACAGGATGAGAAAGTGTGGAATACTGTAAAAGCCATTATTCTAACGAGGCGCATATATAACGATTTCCCAAAATTGACTAGTTTACGTGTACCAAAGGTAACGATTCTCACTCATTCTCCACGCTCAATAGGACAGTATATGTATCGATTTCTGTATAACGATTTCTATTTTAACGACAGATTTCTCCTCGGCACTTCGTTATACATGTATATATATACACACTTGAGAGGGACGAAAAGCGTTTCTTCTGTAACTCTGAGTTTCACGGTTTTAACCGATCATCAGACAGCAACTCTATATATATATATAATATATATAATATAATATACTCAATCTGCGGACAGCATGCTGTTTCGTTCTTTTTGAACTCATCAGCGCAGCACAGAGGAAATGAGGCCGAACCTGATAGCAATGGAAATAAAAATTTCCAATCAGGCCCGAACGTACCTTGCCAGAGTGCTCAAACTGACAAGTCAGTGAGCTCTGCATAACGCAAACAGCAAAGGCACTACCCCACGCAAGAGTGCTCAACTGCTACAAGAGCAGGAGCGAAATACTCAATCTGCGGACAGCATGCTGTTTCGTTCTTTTTGAACTCATCAGCGCAGCACAGAGGAAATGAGGCCGAACCTGATAGCAATGGAAATAAAAATTTCCAATCAGGCCCGAACGTACCTTGCCAGAGTGCTCAAACTGACAAGTCAGTGAGCTCTGCATAACGCAAACAGCAAAGGCACTACCCCACGCAAGAGTGCTCAACTGCTACAAGAGCAGGAGCGAAATACTCAATCTAATATATATATTATATCAGTTGGGGTGATCCCGTCCGACGCGAATAGTGCTCAATAGTACGGGGGTACTAGAGCCAATACACACTGCACGATCAGGTCCTCACCAGAGATACATCATCGTTCTTTGCAACTCTGAGTTTCATGAAATGAATCAATCATCAGGCAATAGAAACAAACTGATACAGGGCAACTAGATCACTACAGGTTATATACCCAGTCAGACAGCAAGCGCGAAAGAAGGCACTAAGTTAGGGGTGAGAATATTCCGTGCTAAAAAAGCAGGCTTCAGGTGGCAATGTTTAGGGCTCTGTACTTGTACTGTGTGCATGTGTTGGATATGGCGTTGGGTATGGTGTATGAATTGGCAGAGTGTGCAGGCTGTTCACGCGATGCTCATACGTAGGCAGGGCGTTGCATTTGGCGTATTGGTCATTCTAGGTGACTCCTTGGAAGTTCACGAGTCGGAACTTGTTTGCGTGCCTGCACTTTGCGACGACTTCGCTCCTCTTGTTCAGTGCCAGGGTCTTATCAGCAATTAGGATTCTGGCCTTTTCAGTTGTGCAGAGTTTGCATCTTTTTGTTGCAGGGTTGTAGGAGCTGGTCCTGTCTTTTATCTGCCAGGTAAGGTGGTACTCTTCCTTGTTTTCCTTCTTCTGCCACAGGTGTTCCGACAGTGCGGTCTTTTTTCGGTGTTTCTCGTGTCGGAAAGACATAGTGTGATTGTTGTACCGGAGCTTGAATGTTGTGTCTGCCGAGCCAATGTACACCTTTTGTTCCTGGACAACACTTACACCGAAATCAACAACGAAGCAAAGCAGCTAGCAGAGAAGCTAAACATCAGCGACCGCGTAGACATTATGGCAAAATCAGAGGCGTTCATCACTCTTAAAGATCACAAAGACCGATTCAAGAACGACCTGCCCTGCCGACTCATCAACCCGGCAAAACCGGAACTGGGTGTCATCAGCAAAGCGATCCTCGACCGCATGGTGAGCGCTGTACGTGTGGCAACTGAAATCAACCTCTGGAGAAGCACCGTATCTGTCATCGACTGGTTCAAAGGAATAGACGACAAGAGCAGACACACATTTGTTCGTTTCGATGTTGTCCAGTATTATCCGTCAATCGCCGAAACGCTCCTCAAAAAAGCCCTCGACTTTGCAGAAACGTACACTGTCATCACAGATGAAGAAAGAAACATTGTCATGCATGCAAGAAAGTCCGTGATATTCAAGGACGGCCGAGTATGGATCAAGAAGGGCAACGGATCCATGTTTGATGTCACGATGGGATCGTTTGATGGTGCAGAGGTGTGCGAACTGGTCGGAGCCTACCTGCTGAACCAGCTCGCAGAGCACATCCCCAAAGGACAAATCGGCCTCCACCGTGATGACGGCTTAGCCATCATAAAGAACGCATCCGGTGGTACTGCAGAGCAACTTCGGAAGAAACTGACGGCAGTCTTCACGGCAAACGGACTCCGTGTCACCATCGACTCCAACCTCAAGGTGGTAGATTTCCTTGACGTCACGTTCAACTTAGCCACGGGAGCTTACCTACCACACCGGAAGCCAGGCGACACACCAAGATACATCCATACCCACTCAAACCACCCACCGAATATACTAAAACAGCTTCCGGCGGCTATCAGCAGACGTGTCTCTACCAACTCCTCAGACATCGACGCATTTAACCAAGCAGCCCCCATGAACAATGCAGCACTCTCAGCCAGTGGATATACAGAAAAAATCCAGTACACTGAACCAACGGAGCAAAACAAAGAAGAAAGGAAAAAGCGAAACAGAAAACGAAAGATCATATGGTTCAACCCTCCCTTCAGCCGAAACGTGAAAACGAACGTCGCCGCCGGATTCCTGAGGCTCATTGACCGGCATTTCAGAAACAGCGAGCTAAAAAAGATATTCAATCACAACAACGTCAAAGTTAGCTACTCCTGCCTCCCCAACGTCGCAGCCAAAATCAGCAGCCACAACAAACAACACCTCACGGAAAAAAGCCCAGAAAAACCATGTAACTGCAGGAAAAAAACGGAATGTCCGCTGGATGGCCACTGCCAAGCCACACAAATCGTCTATGAAGCCACCGTAGTCTGCCAGGAGGAACAAAAGGTGTACATCGGCTCGGCAGACACAACATTCAAGCTCCGGTACAACAATCACACTATGTCTTTCCGACACGAGAAACACCGAAAAAAGACCGCACTGTCGGAACACCTGTGGCAGAAGAAGGAAAACAAGGAAGAGTACCACCTTACCTGGCAGATAAAAGACAGGACCAGCTCCTACAACCCTGCAACAAAAAGATGCAAACTCTGCACAACTGAAAAGGCCAGAATCCTAATTGCTGATAAGACCCTAGCACTGAACAAGAGGAGCGAAATCGTCGCAAAGTGCAGGCACGCAAACAAGTTCCGACTCGTGAACTTCCAAGGAGTCACCTAGAATGACCAATACGCCAAATGCAACGCCCTGCCTACGTATGAGCATCGCGTGAACAGCCTGCACACTCTGCCAATTCATACACCATACCCAACGCCATATCCAACACATGCACACAGTACAAGTACAGAGCCCTAAACATTGCCACCTGAAGCCTGCTTTTTTAGCACGGAATATTCTCACCCCTAACTTAGTGCCTTCTTTCGCGCTTGCTGTCTGACTGGGTATATAACCTGTAGTGATCTAGTTGCCCTGTATCAGTTTGTTTCTATTGCCTGATGATTGATTCATTTCATGAAACTCAGAGTTGCAAAGAACGATGATGTATCTCTGGTGAGGACCTGATCGTGCAGTATATATATAATATAATATATATAATAACTGGTTTGAGGGAAAGAGACAAACGGGAAAAGTCTGAAGAAAAAATTGACTGTCACCACCAGGACTCGAACCAGGGACCCTCGCTTGTAGCCAGCGATGCTCTAAACCAGAGCTATGGTGTAGTCGTCATCCCAGCAGAGGCCGTTCAACATTTTCTTCAGACTTCATATATATATATCGCTGACGAGTTCACAAAGAACGAAACAGCATGCTGTCCGCAGATTGAGTATATATATATATATATATATACACTCAGACACAAAGGATCTCCAAGTTTCTCAGTGTTGCTACTCTGAGTTTCGTGCAAAAGCACTCTTCAGGCAACTTACTCTTCTCTCACATCAGTATCCCTTTACATACCAGAAAAGACGAAAAGAAGCACCCTAGGTGGGAATCACAGGTGGAGAAAAGAAGCACGCTAGCCAGTCTAGGTGGGAATCACAGGTGAAGATAAATGTGGCAAGTGTGGTAGTGTGAGCAATCGCGCAGGCCGGCTGGTGTGCATAAAGTGAAGTAGGATGTATGCACATTAGATAGCAGGAGTTCTGTATATGTGTAACAGATAGCAAGCGCAGTCTACAGTTCAGGTCACCTCCGATAGGAGGTACTTGGTGCTGTGGCGACATTTTGTGACCAGGCTGCATCTGGTGTTGAGGAGCGATGCCTTGTCACTCTTCATTATGGCGATCTTCTCCGATAGGCATAGGTTGCACCGCTTCGAGGTTCTTTTGTAGGCGCTGGATCTCTGCCTGATTCTCCACGAGATGTTGACGTCTTCACCTGCCTCCTTCAATGCCCATGCATGCTTTGACAATTCTGTGCTGTTTCTGTGTGGGGCATTCCGGAACGATGACGTGTGGTTGTTGAACCGGAGTTTGAACGGGGTTTCGGAGATGCCGATATACTTCTTCCGGCTGAGATTGGAGTCCACTGTAGCTTCGTACACTATCTCGCTGGCGTTGCAGTCCCCGTTGAGTGGGCAGTTTGCTTTGATACGGCAGTTACATCTCTTTTCTTCCGGCTGTCTGAGGACTTTCGCGTTGTGGCCCTTGATTATTGAGGCTAAGTTAGGCGAACAGCTGTAGCTGACTTTGATCGTGTTTTTGTTAAATATTTTTCTGAGGGCAGATCCTTCTGGGAAATGGCGCTTGACAAGTCTCAGGAATGTCGCGCCAACATCAGTCTTCACGGATTGGCTGTACGGTGGGTTAAACCAAATGATGGTCCTCTTCCGATTCTTTTTCCTCCTGGCTTGTCCTTCTGTGTTCGCCAGTTCCTCGTTATAGACGAGTGCGTAGTTGAAGCCACTTTTTGAGAGAGCTGCAGCGTACGTGGGGGCAGCCTCTTCAAAGACTTCTTGATTGGCAGAGACGCTCGTTAGGCGCTTGTTGATGGACTGCGGCAGGTTTTTGATTACTATTGGAGGATGGTTAGACTCACGGTTAAGGTAGAGGGGCGTGTCCCCGGGCTTGCGGTATGGCTTGTAGGTGCCTGTTTCGAGGTTTAGAGTGACGTCTAGGAAGTCGGTTACTTTTCTGTTGACGTCGATTGTTATTTTCAGGCCGAGTGATTGGAACATGCCGATGATGTTCTTCCGTATCTTGTCTGCTCTCCAACCCGGCACTCTCCTTAGGGTAGCTAGGCCATCATCACGGTACAATCCGATTGATGGCTTGTCGATGTAGCTTGCCAGCTTGTTCAGGAGTAATGCGCCTACCAGCTGGCAGACCTCAGCTCCGTCGTAAGACCCCATGGTTACGTCAAATCCGTTAGCGTTGTCCTTTTTTACCCATGTTTTTGATGCGTCAAATAGCAGAGATCTCCTCGCGTGCATAATGATGTCTACGTCGCTCTTGCTGACGTTGGTGTATTGCCCCGCAAATCTCAGTGCTTGGCGGAGGAGGTCTTCTGTAATTGACGGGTAGTAGCTGACGATGTCGAAGCACACGAAGGTTCTCTCATTTTTGTCGTCCAATCCTCGGAACCAATCTAGAACCGATGCTGTGTTTTTCCATAGCTGGATGTCAGTCGCTTTGGTGACCTCAGTTGTGATCCTGTCCAATATTGTTTTGCTGATGATGCCCATCTCGGCCTTTGCTGGGTTGATTAACCTGCATGGCAGATCGTTGGCGAATCTGTCTTTATGATCCTTGAAGGTCAGGAATGCTTGAGACTCTGCCATCGTGTCCATGCGGTCATCCAGCGGCTTCTCCATGTTTTGTGCGATGCTCTTTGCCTCTCTGTTGATGTCCTTATACATTGCTGCCGGGGCTGTTTTGTATGCCTTCGTGACATTGTCCTTCAGTAGCTTGTTGTACCGCTCGCGCGATACCTCGTACAAGTTGCTGGTTTTGTCGGCTTTGACAATGACTTTGTCGGATTTTGAAATGGCCCGGGATTTTTCCCTCAGGTCGTATATATATATATATTAAAAGCTTTTCACCCATTTTCATCAGTAGATACATGGGAATGAGCAAGAACGAAAACGAAGCCAGAATTTATACTGGGGGTAGAGAATCAGCAAGAATATTCTTACGCGCCTCAAGTTCACACTACACTACCATAAGAATGTATGGAGCGGTGGAAAAATGCGGGAAACCATATATATATATATATATATATATATATGGCGTTTACAGTAGACTGGCAAGGATAGAAGCACGTGGAACTGAGCAATCAGCCCTGTGCAGCCTTGCTATGGACAGGAAACCGGGTTAATACCCCCCAAACCGGAAGGCGGATATTTCTCTGCCTCTCGGGTTAGGAGCAGCAACGCTAGCAAACCGCGAGACGTGGGCGGGGCTTGCATTGTAATGCATTTCAGTGGCGGACAACGGCGATACGATAGCTAAAGGCAGGGACAATCACTTGTAACAAACAGAATGACTGTGTTTGAATTTTGATTGTGAACTGATGTGGATACCATAACACCAATATCACAATTTTCAATCTGAAGAGAAGGCGCAGTGGGATTAATGATATTATTATGTCCACAGTTTGCGTGCGACTCACACCAAGTTTACCACATCTGTAGGAACACCACCACCCTCAAGGATCAAGGCACAGATGCAGCTCCTAAAGCGGTGGGAGTTGAGTAGATCATATCCACCACTATCTAAATGGTAAAAGACGGAAAATCCCATTAACTACGCCCATGTCCCCCCCCCCCCCCCCCCCTGGCAGACCACGAGTTCCCAATTAGAAGTGAGTAAAGGGATCAGGACATGACTTGACAAAGGCACAGGATCCAGACTGACTGCATCCTGCAAGAAGCAGGACTTAGCGCTGGCAAAATTGCTCAAATTAATGGATTTCGTGTTCCTAGCTCGTTTGAGTCAACACCATAGAGGGTGAATAAGGGTCAGGGGCATGGCTGATCACTCTTTCGGGGGGGGGGGGGGTGCATGGCCGCATATGTGTAGGATGGCTGGTGTATATCATTCACGGTCATTATGTGCATGCTGAACCTAGGTCAACATTTTCAGGGGGTGTACGTGCCCCCCCCCTAAAAATTTCAACCAAGGTCAACATTTTTAGGGGGTGTACATGCCCCCCTCCCCTCCCCCCCCCTGCACGTCACCCATGGGGCTACGTGCGCCCGAGGGCCTAAGGACAGTACTTAACAAAGGCCTCACCTCCAGACTGACAGCATCCTGCAGGAAGCAGGATTTGTAGCGCAGGCGAAACTGGTGAGCCGACTTTCCCCAGTCGTTGAGTGAGTGAAGCAACTTCGCTTTGATGCGCGCCACCGTGTCACGGCCATCACACATCACCACAAACGTACGACCCTGGTTTAGCACACGGACACACACAACACACATCACTACCAATCTACAACCCTGGTTCAGCACATTGAGACACACCGCACATCACGACAAACGCACGACCCTTGTTTAGCACACGGACACACGGCACATCACCACAAACGTACGAACCTGGTTTAGCACGAGCACACGGACAACAATGCATTCAGCGCACGAAGCAGAGAAGACGCTAGAAATTTCAACGAGGCCTTTCAAAGCCATTGGTGATATATTGGAACATTGGTGATGTGAAGTATTTCATGCAACAACTTTTTTCGGAAAAGATCTGGGTAGTCAATAGCTGTGACGGGACTGGACTTAGAGGTCATTTTCCCATTCCATTTGGCTTTCGAATGTCGCTGTGTCACAATTGACTCTCTTTCTGCATGCTCTGTATTATGATTATCAAATGGATTAGTCATGTATCATGAACAGCTAGCCTATGGCTATATACTCTACAACCTATTCACCTGTAGGAACACACCTCATTTGACTGCCAACTCCACATCCTTATTCTAACTCATCCATCGTACTCCGAATACAGCAGGGAGTCGAATACGACTCCCTCTCCATTGCAGCAGCATTATGGAAAATAAGAAGCTGGCCAACGGCGACGGTTCCCCTCAGATCTTGGTTAGTCCAGAAAGAAAGTGTTTGATTCGTAGTGTTGAGTGATTAGTATTCTTGCTGTTACTTTAGCTCAATACAAAGGGATCAGGGGCGTCGGACAAGCGAGGGTCACTACGGTATTGACCGGACAGTAAAACCTACAAAGGCGACCACTAGGATAAGGCGACCACTAGGATAAGGCGACCACTAGGATAAGGCGACCACCTGTCCAAGAAGACCACTGAAACCAGAACCAAGGGATGTTATTTCCAGTCAAACCACCCTGGATAAGGAGACCACCTGGTAACAGAGACCACGTTTTGAAGGTCCCTTGAGCGGTGGTTTTAGACGGATTTCACTGTACCACTATTGGCCGGGCATGCTAGCTCTACCCTAGGAATCAATAGCATACACTGACCAGGGCACTCGATTTCGAAATTTGTCAGAGGAGCCACCCAACCCCACGAGTAAATTGTACTTCCGGTGGCTGACAGTACCACCCTGAAATACCTTCCGACGCCCCCTGTTTGTTTGTTTTGTTTGTTTGTTTCTTTTATTTGAATTCGTTTAGAGCACAGGCAATTCTGCCTTCTCACCAGAGGAAAAACCTCCGGTTCCTGCTAAGAACGAATATAATATTATGAGAGAAGGAAATATTAAAAAGAATCATAACATGATAATTCCAAAGCACAAAGTTTGTATATAATTCAAATGGGTGTGTGTATGTGTGATGGAGTTGGACAGCGACTGTCTGCCATTGAGTTTTTCGGGCTACACTGGTCAAAAGCGCATGACATGCGCATTTTCATTAAATTTTTATACATTCAATGATTGTATAGCACGCAATGCCCAACCAACCGGGCATATACACACCCAAGGGAATATGTACATAGGAACTCGTACACATGTCAACAAACAATGGATCACTTGTAATATTTCGCTACTCCGAGTTTCATGCACTGTGTGCAATCATCAGGCGAACAATATTCAATGCAGACTGGTCAAAGCATAATGGGAATTTAAGGTGGATGCAGGCGGAAGCAAGTGTAAGGCTTAGCGGGACCCCTGATACATAATCAATGGGCTAACTTGCCGGCTGAGAAGTGTGTGAAGCTGAGTGCTAGATGACTATAGCATAGTGGGGCAGTGCAATTTGCCAAGGCGCTAGCTGTTGGATGCCTGTACTACAGCAGAGCCAATTTGCAGTGGGGGGGGGGGGGGGTGCCAGCTGTTGGATGCCTGTACTACAGCAGAGCCAATTTGCCAAGGCGCTATCTGTTGGATGCCTGTACTACAGCAGAGCCAATTAAGTCCGACGAGTTACAGTTAGGTGCAATGGCGGCACTTGCCTCTTTGGTGGTGTTAGGATTCAGGTGTTGGGTGCTGGATGCCTGTACTACAGCAGAGCCAGTGAAGTCTGAGGAGTTACAGCTGGGTGCGATGGTTGCACTAGCCTTTCAGGTGTGAAGATTCAGGTGCGTGCTGGATGCCTGTACTACAGCAGAGCCAGTGCCACACCAGGACATGCCTTGCTTAGCAAAGCATACTGGATGCCTGTACTACAGCAGAGCCAGTATGCGCTAGCCGTGACAAGGCCAACTGCCCGCTGCGTGGAGCATGCCAGACCGATTGTGTCGTGTACGAAGCAGCCGTGGGCGGCGCAAACGACCCGAAGTACTACATTGGTTCGGCTGAGACGCCCTTCAAACTTCGTCACGCCAATCACAAGACCTCAATGCGGCACGAGAAATACCGCAACTCCACCGAGCTGTCAAGCTACGTTTGGTCGCTCAAAAACCAGGGTCAGGAGTACAACGTGTCATGGAATGTCAAGCGCAGAGCCAAGTCGTACAGCCCAACAACTAAGCGCTGTAACCTCTGTCTAACAGAGAAGCTAGAAATTATCACGGCCGACAAAGCAACCCTCCTGAACACAAGGTGTGACCTCATCGCCAAATGCCGGCACAGCACTAGATACCAGCTGAGCAAGTATTCAGGTGTGACTTAGCCAAATAGCGCATACTGGCTCTGCTGTAGTACAGGCATCCAACAGATAGCGCCTTGGCAAATTGGCTCTGCTGTAGTACAGGCATCCAACAGCTGGCACCCCCCCCCCCCCCCCCCCCCACTGCAAATTGGCTCTGCTGTAGTACAGGCATCCAACAGCTAGCGCCTTGGCAAATTGCACTGCCCCACTATGCTATAGTCATCTAGCACTCAGCTTCACACACTTCTCAGCCGGCAAGTTAGCCCATTGATTACGTATCAGGGGTCCCGCTAAGCCTTACACTTGCTTCCGCCTGCATCCACCTTAAATTCCCATTATGCTTTGACCAGTCTGCATTGAATATTGTTCGCCTGATGATTGCACACAGTGCATGAAACTCGGAGTAGCGAAATATTACGAGTGATCCATTGTTTGTTGACATGTGTCATTGCTCCCCCCAAGAAATTGGATGTTGAGCACTTTTTCTGCAGCTACAGGCATAGTCTTACTAAGTAGGAACTCGTACATGTGTACAATGTGCAGAACGTGCATTATCCAGCGATGAGCATGTGGGCGAGCGTGCATGTGTGTGTATGGGGGGGGGGGGGGGGGGGGAGGGGGTGTGTGAATGTATGCGTGCGTGTGTGTATGGGGGGGGGGGGGGTATGTGAATGTATGCGTGCATGTGTACGTGCATGTGTGAGTATTGAGTACGAGTATGTGTACGCTCGCGAGCGCATGTGCGTGTATGTGTGTGTGTGTGTGTGTGTGTGTGTGTGTGTGTGTGTGTGTGTGTGTGTGTGTGTGTGTGTGTGTACAGGAATCTCGTCTGTTTGACAAGTTTATGTGCACTCAAGCTTCGACTGTCATCTGACAGCCGGGCACAATCATCACATCCACCCTTCCAGGAAACTCCCCAGATAAGTATCCATTTTACTTTTGGAGAATCCTTCAAAAATTTATTAAGTCTCAATGAAACTGAAAAAAACAACAGTACGTACCAGAATGGACGTGCCCTCCACGTAGAGCAACATGCTCGCTGGGTCGCGTGTGCAGCTCTAACAGCAGTTGCTTGTTCTTGAATCGAATCTCTCTGTGCTAGTCCCTCGTTGGATTACGGCCGCACCACACTACCACCAGTTCAGCACAGATGAAAAAAATCTTTCTACTGACAGCACGCTTTGGATGTTCGTCTATCAGGCGGCTTGAGCGTACATGCATGCAAGACAACACCATACCAGGTCCTGGCTTTTCAGCTCAGCTTGCTTGCTGGGATTTTCTTTCATTGACAAGCTACAGCCACTGGTCCAACCCGTCTAGCGCACTTCTTCCTTGCTACACACAGTCGAGTCTGGTCCGCTTTCTTTCATTTCTCTTCGCTTCTCGACTTCTGACGTGATGACTGGAGAGGCGTGATGCCTGATGCCTGATGGTGATGAATGACACAACTGTGTGACTTTTTGTGTGAGTGCGAGTGTTTGGACTACCGTACTGAGTAGATCTACTGT